GAGAGAGAGAGATGTGAAAGGGACACATCGAGTGGCTGCCACCCCAACCAGGGCCGGGGACAAAGTGCAACCGAGGTATGTGCCCTTAGCGGGAAACAAACCTGGGTCTCTATGGACCACAGGCTGATGCTCTAACTGCTGAGCCAAACTGGCCAGGGTGCCATTTTAATTTTATGCCTGTGTTCCTCTCTCTCTCTCTCTCTCTCTTCTCTCTCTCTCTCTCTCTCTCTCTCTCTCCTGACAACAGTCCCTTCCCTTCAGCATTTCTTGCAGTGCTGGTTTTGTGGTGGTAAATTCCTTTAGCCTTTTTTTTTTTTTTAAAATCCACGAAACTCCTTATTTCTCCTTCAATTTTGAATGATAGTCTTGCTGGATAGAGTAGTCTTGGATTCAGACCCTTGCCTTGCATTATTTTGTACACTTCATGCCACTCCCTCTGGCCTGCAGTGTTTCTACTGAGAAATCAGCTGACAGTCTAATGGGAGCTCCATTGTAGGTAACTTTCTGTCTTTTTGTTGCTTCCTTTACAATTCTTTTTTTGTCTTTAATGTTTGCCATTTTTATTATGATGTGTCTAGCTGAGGGTCTTCTGGGGTTCATCTTGCTTGAGACTCTGTGTTTCCTAGACTTGTGTGACCTTTTCCTTCACCAGTTTAGAGACGGTTTCTGTCATTATTTCTTCAAACAGGTTCTCCATTCCTTTCTCTGATTCTTCTCCTTCTGGTACCCCTATGATGCGAATGTTGTTTTGTATTGTCCCACAGCTCCCTTAAACTCTCCTCCTGCTCTTTAAACTTTTTTCCCCCATTTGCTGCTCTATTTGGGTGTTTTTCTCTACCTTGTCTTCTAAATCGCTGATTCGATCTTAAGCTTCTTCTAATCTACCCTTGGAGTTTTCTAAGGTATTTTTCCTAACAGCTGTCATTCTTTATTTCCTCTTGATTTTTATGCATAGCTTCTACCTCTTTATGTTAAGCTTTACCTCTTTTTTTCAGCTCAGGTAGTTCCCAGTGAACTCTTCATAGTTCTTATTAAGTTGCTTGTAGTTCTCACCAAATTGTTTGTGCACCCTTAAAATCATTGCTTTGAATTCTTTATCTGACAAGTTGCTGTCTTCCATTTCCTGTAGTTCCTTTTCTGGTGCTTCCTCTTTTCTTTTCCTTTGGGTGTTGTCTCCCCATTTTAGCCGTCTGGTTGCTCTAGACCCAGTGAGGGATGTTTGGATGTGTAGGCAGCTTACTGTACATCAAATACGGTTATTGTGCCTCCCAGACTGTTCTGTTGCGTGTTGCCTTTTGCTTGCTGTAGATCCTGGAGGATTGACTACTGGGGGCTGGTATTATTGTGTCCTGGTAGGTGCTGCTGCTGGATCATGTGGACCCCTCTAAAGCTGTTTCCAGCTGGTTGCTGGTGCAACCTATAGCTGTATAGCTCAGGCCCTGCTGGAGCTGCGCTCCCTGCCCACACTGTCAGCAGCTGTCGCACAGGCCCCACTGGAGCCCTGGCTCCCTGCCGATCTTGTGGGCAGCTGGGTTGCTCAGGCCTCTCTGGTGCCCCAGCTCCCTACAGGTCCCGTGTGGAACTGGATCGCACAGTCCCTTCTGGAGACCCGGCTCCACGCCTATCTTGTGGGCTGCTGTGTTGCACAGGCCCCCGTGGAGCCCCAGGTCCTGCCACTGGCAGCTGGGGAGTACTGCTGCCTAGTGGAGCCCAACTCCTGCTCAGCCTTTGCTGTAGTTTTTGGGGATGGGTCTCAGCTGCTGGTCTGTGCTTCTGTTGCCTGGCAATGGATGTCTGCTCCCCAGCCTCTGTTGCTGGGGGGTATATCTTGACTCTGATCGGACTGCTACTGTGGGGGATGGTGCTGGGCTCCTCGCTGCTTGCGGTTTCCACAGCAGGCACCTTGACAGCTGTGCTACTGTGCACTGGTCTGTGTTGGTACAGGGTGTCCACTATACCAATGGTGCCAGGTGCACTGGTGGGCTCAGGTCGCTGGGCCCTAGCCACTCCCACTGCCTCCTCCCAGGGAAGACTTGGGATGTTCCAAAATGGCGAGACCTCCCCGCAGCACAGGGGGAAGCGTCCTGAAGAGCCACTTACCGTGGCAGCAACTCTTCCACAGCACAAGAACCTTCTGCTCCGCATCTCTGCACTGCACAAGTTTGTTCGTCCACTTTCGGTCCACTCACACACCAGCTCACTCTCTCATGCACTCACCCTCCCTCTGGTCCTGCCCGCCGCCATCTTAATTCTCTACTTTTTATGATACTTCTATACCTGCTTTTCAATTGGCCTTGAAATATTTACATGTGAAATTCTCTTTTAATGAAGGACAAACAACAACAGCAAAATCTATCATTTTGTGAACATGTACAGGGAAAGTACTAGGAAGTAGAAAGAAGAGAATTCAATAATTTTATTAATTTAAACACAGGCTTACTACAAATCCTCTACCAGAGTTTCCAACTGAAAGTGCCTCTTATCTAGTTACATGTGTTAGTAGATTGGGGTTGAACAAACGTAGGTTGTTAAATGACCTAATATTTTACATCTCAGTGGAATAGTATCTTTATATGTATTCTCAAGCCTATGTTTTCAGCTAACAAAAAAGCACAGGTTTAATTTAGAAACCACCAAATGCTTATATAAATTAAATCTTGTGCTACAAAGCTACTATCTTGAAACTCACTGTTTGAATTATTTTTTACCCACTTACCATAAAAAAACTAGTTCTCAGATTCTGCATACAGACAGCTTTATGTAAAATATATAAACAGATTGCATAAATATGGCAATTACGACTGCATTTACAGATGTGCATGTACAATGTTATGCAAATTATCACAATATTACAATTTCAAAAATTCTTCAAATAGGAGTCCAAGTAAAGCAATTAGTGAAAAAATACCCATGCAGAATTTAAATATCTCAGAACAAAATTTAAAATGTCTCAGTAAAAGTTCACACATTTAAAATAGTTTTATTCATTTTATTTGTATATGTCAAAATACATTTTTATTTCCAAAATAGTGGGTTTTGCAACTAGTTTCATGCAGAAACAAGGTCTGCTCAATACTACCAATAAAATCAATATAGCACAGTAGCTGTTCAGTTTTAGATACAAAGAATAAATAACCTAAATACAAAACACTAAAATATTAGAAACATGTATTTAATCATTCTTCACAGGCATCCAAACTTCACAAATACACTCCTTAGCATGCCTAACTGTTGTGCAACCAGACATGTTGCAGTCACTCAAACTGATCAATTATCTGTATATTTTACGTCCATATAAGACCATGGAAATTCTCTATATTCAGACCCACCATTTATACAGTTCAAATATAACCAAAAATAAAATTCCCACAACTATCCTTGTACCTTTAAAAATCAAGAATCCTGAGCTTGGTAGTAAGAGCATAACCTTATATCTTCATAAAACCAATCAAGAGAGAGAGGACTTGAAATCCTGCTTACCAAAACACCTTTTCCCAACCCCAAAGTAATCTAAAATAGGCAGTAGAACACAATGACCTTTTAAAATGAAGGGGTACAAATTCACATTTAATATAGTATACAATACAATCAATAATACAATTAGCTACTGTAAGCTTTACAATGTACAATTTATTCAAATGGCTGAACTGTTCAGTGGTTAAGGAGACAGTTATGTGCCAGAAAGATGTAATATTTTTTGCATGGTTTAATGAAAATATAAAAGCTATTTGTCCAAATAAAAGCCATCTCCACTATGTACTCGGTTTCAGCATTTTTTTAAAAGGCCACTGAAATGTATAAAATGGTCTGAACATGATGGTGGTATCAAAGTCAATGCCTCTTCACATGGCAATAACAGTGCATTTAATATTACTCCGGGTTAAGTCTGCAAAGGATTCCATAGCATTACTTTGGCTAGCACAACAGTTTTAGACAGCACTCAGATAAATATCAGTATGTGAAATGTGAAGCAATTACCTTATGCAACTTTAATTATGGTTGAATACTATCAAAAACTGAAAATAAAAGTAAAAGCACTTTACAGTAGAAAAGTTTTGTAAAGATAGGGCTCCACATAATGTATTACTTTTAAACTCTTTATATCACATTGTTAGCAAATTTTGTTTTTTAACACTATTATGGAGTAGCCTACTTTGCATTAACAGACATTTGAAATAAGAAAATAGTCAAGCATGCCATGTGATGGACTAAAAATCAAAACAATACACTTATTTATATATACAGCATCACTCAGTACCTGCTAAAATGAATGTGAAGATTACAGAATCTAACATCTTGTTCTACAATAGTAAAAAACAAACAAAAACAAAAGTGACCAATGAAGGCAGAAAACAGGACTTAAAAGAATCTAATCTCAACTGACTTTAAAGCATTCATATAAGAAATAAATGCATATTGCACACACAGTGAAAGCAGATGCTCCACCAAGCAATTCAGTTCCAGGTGGGAGACAACACAGCATTAGCCTAATACATGACAATGGCCTCAGAAGAGCAAGTGTTCTTTTCTGTAAATGAAAAAGCTGTGAAAACATAGACGCGCCTGCCACATGAAGAGTTAGAAGGAAAAACATACAAACCCAAACTTGGATGTAAAGCAAAAAAAAATTAAATATTGAAAAACTGGAAACTGTGGCACATCAAAAAATGTTGAATAACTGTCTTCTGTGATAGTTGCAAGTTTTTGTTGACACAAATCATTTATGTACAACTAAGGCTTACTGGTTAAATATCTGAGGCATATCTGGCCTTGAACACTTTCCTTATATGCTGGAGCTGTAAACAAGTTTTCTCAGTCTTTAAAAAAAAATCTTCTCAGCAGCTGCATTAACATGAAACAATGGTCTTGATACAAGAAAAAAACCCAGAAAATTAAACAAAACAAAACTCCAAGATAAGAGGGCATTTGGCAGGATATCCAAAAATGACAGTCTCCAAGGACTCTTTCCAGGCTTCCAGTGACTGTCAATTATGGTCCACTGGGTTACTAATATGTGCAATTCCATTATTTGCTGCCTTTTTTTTTTTTATTTGGAAAGTTTGCTTATAACTCTGATCAAGGCCCCATTTTCATCCTTTAGCCTCTGGTTGTCTGCTTTTAGGTCTGGTAACATCTACAAGGGGAAAAATGAAGAAAAAGTTTTGCCTCAATAAAAAGATAAAACATTACTATTATTAAATGTTATATTTTCACCACAAGACACATGAACAAGCTTTGCCAGTTACATATTTTTCTAGTGGCTAAAATGTGTATCAGGAAGAAAGAAAAGCAACCTTCAATTTGTGAAGCTAATTAGTTTAATAAATGATGGAATGAAAGGTTTATTCTCCCAAAGTTATCAGTTGAAATGAACTAAATCACTTGATATTATGACTCACAAGCACACCATATTAGAGCAGCCAAGAAAATGAAGCCTGTTTTTGTTAGGATAAAAGGAGCTGAAAGGGAGCTCCTTTAAGAGTTCTTGTCAGTACCTAAACCAAGACACTTTGCTTAATTTACTTCAGACCTCATAACACACATTTCACAAGAAAATCAACATATTGGGAATGTTTTGAGGGAGTTAGATTTGTTCTAAATCATTAAAATTCTTTAAAGGATTCACCTATGGTACTAAGTTTAAGAAACTAGTACAATGTCTGATCCCAAAATAGGTGCTCATCAAATGGCAACAAAGCAAGTATTGCTATTATGAGAATAGAATGAAATAATTTATAAGTAAAAGTAGTAAGCCTGTATTTATGAAAACATCCAAGCATAGAAAAAATAACCAGTTATTTGGAACAAACAGAAAACACACCCTCACATCCTCAAAATAAAGCAAATCCATTTTCTGTTTTACAGACAGACTGAAGGAGGGGTGAAAATGTTAGGTTACCTGGATTTTCTAAGAGTGATTTAAACCACATATGCTCTACCAGATTTATTAGGAAATGGAACAGCTTATATTTTGGACATTATAACATACTTTCCAAGCTATTTAGCAAAATATAAGCAAAATCTATATGAAGAGTTTAATTTTATGTGGACCCAATCAATTCTTATCCATGTTCGAAATGTATGGATATAAAATATAGTAATCTGAAGTTTATGCGAACTAAGTGAATATTAAGATGGCTCCGACTGACAGTGACATTTTGAAAAACAGATAATTCATGCTTCATCTTCAGCATATATTATGTGTAAAACACGTTACATTGTTTATGTTCCATTTTCTTTCTAGTTAAGAATTTTAAATAGCCAAATTTTTAAGCCCTAAAATATTTGTTGAGCTGAAATGTGCACAGGCTTTGCAAAAATGCAGACACGTCTTTTATTTAAATTCCAAAATCATTCCCTAAGTTTACCGTAGTTTATGAATTTAAATATATAATTAGTGACACTTTCTAATGTTCTGAGAAGCCATGCATAATTAAAGTTATATGATAAGCTGCAGACAAAATGGCATTAATTTGTAAAAGTGAACTCAAGACACGCTTACTAATACAAAAACACCTGCCTGGCTCTACCAAGGAGAAATGATGAGACTACAGATTATAGGTGCACAGACTGAGCTTCCTACAGAACCCTGAGCGCTTGGCTACCACTCTTGTCAAGGCCCTATTCTCAGTCAGCAGCCGTTCATTTGACTCTCTCAGAGTCTGAATTTGCTTTATTTGATGCAGGTTCTGCAGGAATCAGAACATAAAGAAATAGAAAATAAAAAATAAGAAAATGGAAAAGGAGTGCAATAAAAATATAAAGAATGACAGACAACGCATATAAGAAAATATTAATTCTTAAAAAAATTCCATGAGATTTACAAAGATAAACAGTATAGTACTAAAACTCCATATCAAATGAAATCTATGAACAAACAAAATCCAAAAAATCTGTCTCCAAAGGCATTCAATAATAATGTTCTAATAAGTAACCAAATAATTTAATACAAAACACTTAAATCTTGAAATTCTAATTCTGTGGGTACAAACTGTATGTATTAGTTCCTTAATTCGCAATGTAATCGATATTTTATGCAACACAATGTGATAAGAGTTAATGAATTAACTATGCTATATTTTTTCTGCGAAGAGTGTTCCTTCCAACATTCAAAAAGTTATTTCCACAGATAATACAGAGTCTGATAAAATACAGCTCTGCTTATCCACTTTATTTTCAAGGAGAATATTTTTATATTGAAACCCTGCCACCATTTAGTCTCCAAGAAACAGAGCACGTGAATGCAAAGAATAAATAATAAATCCCAAATCTTACAGTCATTATTGTCTAATTTGTTCTGTACCTGAACATCAAAAGTGCTATAAAAATGGATTAACAAAAAGATATGCACTTTAAATACCTTCCTAGGCCACCCAAGACCTGGATTTAGGAAGAAAAATAAGCACAGATATAGGTAAGTCACAAACTGCATAAACAGCTTTGAGAACAATCACTTAGACAAACACCTACAATGGGAATGTGAAATCTGAATTCATAAGCAACACCATCTCTCATAAGCGGCATGGTTTACTTACTTTGAGCTCTTCTTCCATTTCAGATATTCTTCTTTCTAGAGCTCTTCGTTCCTAGGTCAATTTAAAGTACCAATATTAATTTCATAATTATTATATTCTTATATTCTCTTCTAAATTGTGAAATAGTGCCACTTTAGAATCAGAAATCCAATCAGGAGCAGTGTAGAGAGAGATGTGATGCCAGTGATGTGTAAAGAGCTTTCCAAAATTGGAGAGAAACAATATGAAGGTCGTCATTTCCACTACTTTCTATAAGCTCTTTCTTTAAAGCTTTGACTTTCTGTTAAGATGCTACATAACATGTTCAAACAACTTTTTTTTTTTTTTTTTTTAACACATAAAACTCAAGGATAGAGTAAACCAATACAAGATTAAGGACTGTATAGAAAAGGAAAAAAAAAACAACCTCACACACAGATGCAATTACTCTACAGTGACAGAAGCAGAAAAGCCAGAAGCAAACATGCCTAAAATATCTGTACTTTAAAATTTCAATAGGACCTAAGAGAAGTTCATCTCTTCCACCCACATTATTTAATAGCCACTATTTATTTATCCAATTGCCTTCATAGCCTTGTATTTTAGGTTGACACCGTGTAGCATTAATGCAGTGAATCTAATGAAGAAGCAACTACAGCATTTATTTTATTTTGAACGACCTTATTTCAAAGAGTGACAGGCAAAGGCAACATACATTATTGCAGTGTACTATCTTATTCTCCCTTAAATAATAAGCATTCTAAGGTGTTATGCAAAAAGCAAGCGGCAATAATTAATGTGCTGTAAAACTTTGGTTAGGTCATACCGCCCAGAAGATACTGACTCTTGCCGGTCACCTTTCAGATACAAACCATTTAAATTTAGTTTAATCACACTGAAACTACGTCCAAGACATTCTTTTCCAGATTAATAATTAATGTTCATATTTAGTGAAGCAGTACATTTACTGTAAATGTTAATGTTTTTAAGGATATGTAATTTTAAAAAATAGATGAAATCCTACTAGCAGTCTTATAAGTACCATGTTATTCTATTATCAACATGTTTAAGCATTATTACATGGACAAAAATGTTATTTTCTATAAACAGATCTTTTTTCTAGTTAATAATGCAACCATGACAAATTCATAAAAACCAATGCACTTCTCAAAATCTAGGACATATAGTGTCAAATTTAATTCTCATAACTTTGTGAAATACCAGAAATAGCATATTTTCTCCAACTGACAATTTCCCCACCATCCTCAATTTTATTAAGTGACTTCAAAGTTTTAACTACGTAGTAATAAAGCAAGAACACCATACCAAATTGCCTATAGCCAAGTGACAACTATAAAGTTAAAGGAAATTTCTTGTCTGACAAATTAACATTAAAAAATATGGTTAAGAGAAAATGCATGTAAAGTGCTTAGCCCAGACCTGCATAGCAGGTAAGAGAGTGCTGAATAAATAAATGTTAGCAGTTATTATTAATACTATGATAGACAATGTCTGTTAAGTTGAGAGTGAATTAGCTACTTTGTAAATTTATCTGCATTTGACAGGCAGAAAAAAGAGGTCAGGTGGGAATGTCAGAAAACAAAAATGTATATCGTGTGCCCAAACCTAGATAAAACAAAGGATAGACATCAAAATATTAGTTATCTCCCACAGCAAGATTATAGACAATTTTTTTCTTTTACTAAATTTTTTTGTGAAAAAAACATATATTGTTTTCACAAGAAAAATTAGTCTTAAAAATGTGACCATCTCAAAAATAATTTTCTGATTAAGTATATTCTGTTATCAATGTCTTTTCATCTCAACTATTAGTATGGATAACAGAGAAGTGAGTGCATTTTAATGATTTAAAATTCAATAATAGTTATATTGTGAAAGAATATAATTAACATTAAATTTAATAAAATTAATGATTTTAAATTTTAAGCAATTTTTAGTTATACAAATAGTTTTAAAAATTATATATATGTATTATTGATTGATTTGAGAGAGAGAAACATCAGTTCGTTGTTCCACATATTTATACATTCATTTGTGGACACTTACAAGTACCCTGACTAGGGATCGAACCTGAAACCTTGGTGCAATGGGATGATGCTCTAACCAACTAAACCACCTGGCCAGGGCACCAATAGTTTTTTAAATGGCCTAGAACAATAATTTTAAAACTGCTGAAATTATAATAAAACAAGTAGTAATGTCAAGGTACAATTTAGTAAATGGCACAGACATTAACAGACTTTGTTTATTTACATATTCTGTATTTTAGTATCATTTCTCTCTCTCTGTTTTCTTTTGGTCAGAAGGGTAAATTGGCTATTTTAACATGAAATGGAAGAAAATGGTTTTTAAAATCAACTTCTTCTGATTATTTATTCTTTGATCTAGAGATCATAGATACCCAGGATGTAATTTCTTCTCTGGTTGAAACTTCACAAGTCTAGCCACTGCTCACTTGCATTACAGATACCCTTTGAGCACTTGTCCTTTAACTCTTGATCATTTATACATTTTCAACTGCTCAGGCTACGTTTGTAGAGTTATTCCTATGGCCCTGAACAATAATCATCATAATACTAATCAGAGAGAAATAAAAATGAATATATCATAGCCAGATAAAAAATTGTAGAAGGTCATAAAATGGCAAAATATTTTCTTATAATCGTTTTTTGTTTGTTTGTTTAAAATATTTTTAAACAATATTTTGTTTAAAGCTGGCTGGCTCAGCTCAGTGGTTACAGCATTGGCCTGAGGACTGAAGGGTTGCAGGTTTGACCCCCCTCCCTGACTGGGGTCATGCAGAAGGCAACCAATCAATGTGTTTCTCTCTGCCCCCCTGCCCCGACTCTTTCTAAAAAAAAAAAGGAAAAAATTTCCTCAAGTGAGGATTAACAAAATAAATAAATGAATGAATGAATAAATAAAAAATAAATACATAAAAATAAAACTTTTAAGCTAAATACTTAAACTCACAATAAAATAAGCATTAAATTAACTTTTAAAAGAATCTGAAAATTCAATGCCCCTGAAGCTTTAAAAAAATTACTTCGAGAACAAAAGCATTTTAATTTTGCAAAGAGTTAAACTAAATGTATACATAATTAAAACATTTTCAGTATATTACCACCCAAAATCAGAGATAAATAGCATCTCAAAAATATCATCTTCACCATCACAATGTATACATTTCAGAATCAAGGAAGATCTTTCTTTTTTTCCCAATCCTCACCCAAGGCCATTTTTGCATTTATCTTCAGATAGAGTGGGAGGGAGAGAGAGAGGAAGAGAGAGAGAGAGAAACATTGATGCGAGAGAGACACTGAGTAGTCACCACCCACACAACCCCAACCAGGGCTGGGGACGAACTGCAAGCCAGGTACTTGCCCTTAGCGGGAACCGAACCCGGGACTCTCTGGTCCGCGGGTTGACGCTCGCTGAGCCAAATGGGCCATTGCAAGGAAGATCCTTCTTAACCCATTAAAAGAATAATATGGTAAATTAAGTCTTATTTGACAACACAATTTCACATTTAGAGACACCCCCACAAAACTCTATAAAAGAAGGTAAGCTAGAAAACATTCTAATTAAATTAATGAGTATTAATTTAAACTCATTAAAACTATCATCCACAAAGACTAAAGAAAAAAAAAAGCTACTGTTGCTTACACAAAACAATAAAGTAGAAAAATGATATTCAATAAAATGGATACTTACCCTTTTTTCCATTTCCAATAGTGACCTATCAGTAAATCTTTCTTGTCTCTGCAAGAAAAATAAGATATAGCTAAGGGATATAAGAGTAATGAAAATAAAGGGTGTGTATGTCATTTCAGTTGTTTATTGTTATAAATGAAATTCAAAATTTCTATGATGATGAAACTGTTTTAGCTAATCCTGATTTTTTTTGACATTTTAAAATTTAAATTTATATTTTAATTGCTAGAAATGTAAAACAAAGGCTAATATACCACTTCAGAACATGTAAATGAATCCAAAAAATGCTTAAAAGATTGAAGAACTAAAAATGACATTTGAAAGCACCTGAAATAAATCAGAAATAGATAGAACAATGTCATCAAATAGAAGATTTAGATAGAAAATAAGAAATTTTATTGGGGATTTTTTTTCATATAGGAACATTTTAGCAATTTTATGATTCATTTGCCAATTCCTTAGGTTAGTAAAATCAACTTTAGTTAATATTTTTGGTAAATATTCTAGTTAAGTGTTATGTTAAAATCACAATTAGTAAATGTGGTGAATTGAATCTGACAAAATTCATCAAACCAGTTTCTAGTGAAGTCAGCTTATTTCCCTTCCTTGGAGACTGTATCTGGAGGAGGGTACCTGGGCTAAGGCAGGATTCAAGGATTCTAGAGTCCGTTGACTAAATACTATAAAATATACCTAAACTTCAAGATTAATTCTTAGTAGAATAATAGTTCCCTTGGAAAAATTCCATGCAACTATCAAAAATGCCACTTCTATGCATATTCATTAGTTATGGAAGTAATGCTAAAAAAAATTTGGTGGAAGGATTTACAGTAGACTTAAATGCTCAGGATAAATACTCTAAAGTAGAACAAAAAGTCTAATGTTTACCAATTTTACTCTTACATATATTCCTAAAATTTAAAAATAACATTTACATAGTTTTCCAACTAAGATATTAACTGAATATTTACTCAATATCTTACACTTTGAATTATCCTTGCCATTATTAATCCAGTATACTGGGTATGATACTCAATGTATGTGAAGGCAGAAAATGTCATATTTTTTAATCTAGTGACTTGTTTCTCCATCCAGTTGACGGGATCAGAAATTGGTTTATGACCCAAAGGCTGTTTGCTGTAAGTTACCCAGTGTCCCATGAAATGGTCACTAATAGGGCCATGCGCATTAACAGATTGCTCCATACTGATAATAACTGGCTAAGTCTATATTAGTTCCCCTCTCTTGTAGTTTGAATGAGAAACACATAGGAAGAATTTGGATGACAACAGAGAGGCAAAAGAACATAGAAAAACAAAGAAGGCAGTAAGCAGTGGAAACACAGATTAGCTTAGTCACTATGACAGAACACTAGACTAGGGAGTAAACAGAAAACATTTTTATTTGAAAAATATTATTACCAAATCTCTAGAGCTAAAGCTATTTTCAGAAAATGAGTTATGATATTTTTATGTATGGAGGCTCACTAAGCTACTAATGCAACCTGAAGAATGATGACATTCCAGTTTACCATGAAGTAAGTCTAAGTATAAGACAGCAAGTTTTAACTTGTATAACATTCCAAGATTTTGGCACGTCACTATGAAACATGTTCTTGTCCTGCCTTACTTCTCTGTGTACCTTTTTTCCCCACTTTTTAAAATTTTTATTTTTTCCTCACTGGAGGACATTTTTGCATTTATTTTCAGATAGAGCAGGAGGGAGAGAGGGAGGAAGAGAGAGAGAAAAACATCGATGTGAGAAAGACACATCGAGTGGCTGCCACCCACATAACCCCAACTGCGCTGGGGACAAACTGCAACTGAGGTGCATGCCCTTAGCGGACACTGAACCGGGGTCTCTCTGGTCTGCGGGACAACACTCTAACCGCTGAGCCAAACCAGTTAGAACCCTTTCCCCCCCATTTCTAAAATTAAATTTATTGGGGTGACACTGGTTAATAACATCACATGAGTTTCAATTGTACGATTCTATAATATATCATCTGTATATTGTATTGTATGCTCACCATCCAAAATTTTCTCCTCCCATCACCATATATTTGACCCCCTTTACCACTTTTATCCTCCTCCATCCCCCTTCCACTCTGGTAAGCACCATATTGATGTGTGCCTATGAGTTGTTTGTTTGTTCTGTGTATCTTTATAGTAAACCCTCATTAACTAATGAAATCTGAAGAGCCTTCATAACCTCATAAGGTTAGCTTGAGCCCTGGACTTTTACCACAGCTTCTATTTTGCAAAGGCAATTGCTTTATAACATAACAGTGGCTAACAACAATTAAAAAAAAAAAGGGACCTGGTAACAAGTTCAACATAGAAAATTAATTTTAAAAAGTATGAAAAAGATGAGTGTAAAAATAATGGCCAAAGAAAGTATGCAGTATCATTTAAAGAACTGAAGATGACATTTTAGACCAGTGCTTTCAAACTGGATTCCAAGAGCTGTACTACAGACATGTCTGTATGCTAAAAAGTCCCACGTTAAATTTAAACAAGTTTGTTTTCTTAACAATGACAGGACCTCTTGGAACCTTTAATATATAAATAGACTATGTAAAATCTGAGATGTAGAATATATAGTATTTCCCAAGTTTCTTGGATCACAAAGCTCTTTTTATTCTTTTAAACTGGGAGCAAGAGGAGGTGGAGGAGGGAATGTGCCTATTACTGTCTCCCAGGACTAGTATTCCATGAAAAAAGAGCTTGGGAAGCAATTCCTAGATCATACACACACTAGATCAAATAAACAAGGTTCTGAGTTCTGCTTGGCTATCCCAACTTTGTCTAAAATACTCTCCTCTAGGATATTGCACAGAAGGAAGGCAAAATGAGTTATAATTAAAATTATCTTCTTCCAGAGTTACTATATCAAATCACCATTTTTTTTTTTAAAAAAAAAGGAAATATACATTCGGAATACAAATTATTATAAAGAAATTTTATAACTTTAAGGGGATCTGTATAGATGCTCTTAATGCCTTGCTACATTTGGTATGCTGGAAATAAGCACTTAAAATCCTTCATGCATCACAACATAGGCATTAAAAGGCTTAAAAATATTTAGAGTTTCCATTATGAGGCTATACTTCTATATTTGTAATACACTTTGAAAAAAGGTAGATGAAATTATCAGTCAACTGTGTTATCTTGTTTCCTTCTGACTAATAAGCTACTGTCAGTAACCAAACTTACATTTAGAACACCAGAGACCATCTCAATGCAATCTTTTAGATAGAATAAATCACAACCATTACCTCTAGAGCAGTGATTCTCAACCTTCCTAATGCCGTGACCCTTTAATACAGTTCCTCATGTTGTGGTGACCCCCAACCATAAAATTATTTTCGTTGCTACTTCATAACTGTAATTTTGCTACTGTTATGTCTTAGGTGACCCCTGTGAAAGGGTCGTTCAACCCCCAAAGGGGCTGCAACCCACGGGTTAAGAACCACTGCTGCAGAGGAACAAAGAGAAAAAGGTTCAAACCTGGGTAGCCTTTTCCAACTGCAATTTAAGATCTGTCAGTTCCATGTTTGTATCGTGTAGCTGTGCTTTCAGCTTTTCATTTTCAGCTAGAATTTGTTCATAAAGCTATAAAAATAAGAAAAGAACAAATTACTTTTCTGCTGTAATATTTTAATAAGATTTCCTATTGAATACTTTGCAATATTAAAACGTACAGGAAGCTTAGCGAAACAACAGCTATTAAAGGGTACATTAACACATATTTTAATGCTTTGTAGTTGCAATGCAGACATTTCTTTATTACACAGGTATGTTTGTCCTACATAAACTCTTAAAACAGTTCCAGTATTTAAAATTAAAGACTTTGCTGAAAAGTCTCACTTTTCCGTTTCCATTAAAAAGAAAAATTCAGTTTTCTGATAGATGGACCACATATCTGCATAGTAATGATACCTGGAGCTATGGAGACACTATAATCTTTATTTGTGGTCTGTGAGCTTTTTTGTTTATCATGCCCTCTTAAATTCCTGACAGTGAGGGATTATCAGTTGTATTTATCATTATACTTGTATTATTTTTATTAAAGTAAAAAGGCAAGTGAAATATTTCTTGAACACTTTTAGAACACCTGGATTTACTACTACTATTCCCCTCATCATCGCTACTATTGCCACAATAAATGGCTATAATCATCTTTTATCTGAACTATTCTAATGTGAGACTTATTTGCCTGACCTCCATCTACTGTTTTGTACATAGCAGCAAGAGTTAATTTTCAAAATGACAACCTCAATTTTCATATACCAACCATTCCATGAAAACCTCCATCTCATACATTAAAAACCCCTGAATGGCTTCCCAATATTCTCAGTATAAGGATATCCTTAAACTAGCCTGTACGGCACTGTACGGTCTTGGTCCCAGCCTACACATGTAGTTGCAATCTTACACCACCACCCCTTTACTAGCCCTAATGAAAATGTAACTACTTCAATGCATCATGCACCCTTCCACCATCAGGTATATATGCTTGCAGTTCACTCCATCTGGAATACTTCTTTTCTCGAATTTTTTTCCAGTTAACTACTAACCATCCTTCTGTTCTTTGGCTGTAATTTCACTTCCTTAGGAAATCCACCCTCAGGCCCTGACACTTTCCTTTGTACATACATTTATAGGACTGTTTCCTTAGTTTATAAAACTTTATCTAACTTTGTTACACACTTCATAAAACTGTTTCAGAATAACTGCTTTAATTTTTAAGGTATACATACATTAGTATGATTGTATGAAAATGCCTGTCTCTCCCAATACATGGAAGATGTCCATAAAAGCAGGGACAACATCTCCATCTCCACTGTCCATGAGTGGAAGTTCACTCCTGTAGCACAATTCATTGTTAATTTCTTTATTGAATAAATGACTGAATTTTATTTGAAATGTAAACTGACCCCCTACCTTTCTTCTCTTGCTGATGATATGGCTTGTAAGAAAGAGGGTAATTCAAATAAATAGCTGCCAAATACCTGGGAACATACACAAATTCCACAAGCCTTCGTTTTCTCCAACAAACTTCATCAGGTTTATTCCAAGCTCATAATATGAAGAATTGTGACAGTCAGAATTCTAAATTGTTGAATTTCCATTTATTTTTTTAATTTTTTTAAATATGTTTTTATTGATTTCAGAGAGAGGAAGGGAGCGGGAAAGAGAGATGGAAACATCGATTGGCTACCTCCTGCACAACCCCTACTGGCGATCGAGCCTGCAACCTGGGCATGTGCCCTGACCGGGAATTGAACAGGGGACCTCCTGGTACATAGGGTGATGCTCAACCCCTGAGCCACACTGGCTGGCCTCCGTTTATTTCTTAATTACTTTCAGCCTTAATCATTAATAGCAGTTGAGCGACCACAAATTTTTCAGTTACCTAGGAAAAACTATATTCTCCTAGGAAAAGCTGTATTCTTTGGCTGTTTCCTAGTCCTGGGTACTTTCCCCTTTCCTTTAAAAAACAAACAAACAAATGAACAGCTATTTATAGTCTACTTACCAATAACTGATCCAAACTAAAAATTAGAAGATATTTCAAGATATTGATTTCATTATGAGTTTCTAGGAATATCTCAAAAAATGTATCTTAACAATCAGATTGTTTTAAATTAAATTTAACTAACCCAAGTACCTTTTTAAAGTCAGTTGAGTCATCCTTTTCTAGCCTGCTACTGTAAGGTTTTCTTTCTTCTAAGTAACTGTATGATGCAGAGCGACCCAGCAAGGAATCATACCGATCACTAGCTGATGTGGAACTGGTTTCATATCTTCAAAAGATGAATTTAAGTCAAAAGCTTTATTATAGGTTTTCACAACTTACATTAACATGCATCCTAGTATATATTAATTCGATATTCCAAACAGTAGGTAATATTCTCCCTCATCTGTTATCTAACTTTTAAAATATATAATAAATGAGAAGTTATTTTTAACACTACCAATTTCCATTATTTGAGGAAGAGAGTCAATATTTCTATATCTAAAAGTCAAAACTGGTTTCACATCATAATAAATTATTTCAAAAAAATTTAAGTTGTACATTTTTTTCACATTTTATCATCTCTGAAATCAGAACATGGCTTACAAACTGATGATGCATTACAGTTCAATTGGTAGCACTTTTCTTATTTTTAAAGTCATATATTACTTTCCTTTAAAATTATAACATTTTTTATTTGATAAATTAATAACAGTCTATCCAAAGTGATGGATAACAGATTTGCCCTAAACAAGAAAAACATATCTCATTTGTAAATGAAAATTCTCTTCTTATCTGGTTCTAAATTCAGGTAACATTTTCTACGTTTCAACTCAATCCAATCATTAGTACATAAAATTTGTTCCTGGTTTTACAAGACTTTGGATAACAATTACGGGTTAAAAAAATGGAATGGAGAGTAGATTCAAAGAAGTACTCTAAAAAGATCAATACTTTTGAGCCAGATGACACTTTTTAGTGTTTTCATTGGCTTTCTTTCACTTAAGGAGATAAGAGAGAAGAGTCTGAATACCTAATGAAATAAATTTCTGGTGGGTTTCATCAGCCTCTCACATTAATAATGACATAGTCATTGTTGAAGTAACTTAGGAAGCTTAAACTTTACTGTTGTAAAGATTTAAGAAAAATCATAACTCACTGTGACTAATGAACTAGAAGTAAAGCCTTTGACAAAGAAAGCTAATTACAGTTAGTTACAAGGTCATCTAAATATTGATAGATTTTTATTACTCAAAATATTTTATCAACTTATAAAATCCATAAATATCTAGCCACATATTTTTATAAAGACTAAAAAGGACAGGGTATTAAAAAAATAAGGTAAAACATACCTAGAAATGGAATCCGTCTAAAAAAAGAGAAAAACAAACATAGGCATACTAAATTTTTATGCTTCATTAAAGTAACATTTACTAATCAAGTAAATTTAAGATAACATCAATATTGTTTTCATACTATTAAACTAACATTTAATAACTATATATGTTTTACTTTAACATGGCTGTTCTTAGAAAGTTCTAGAACACAGAATCACTGCATATTTTTATATGCACAATACCATACAATTACATTTGGCAATTTATGGTCATCTTTGTGAATTCTTACAAATGCCACCATATATTATTTTTTTAATTAGAAAAAAACAGAGTAAGACACATATTCATTACTTATATTCACTCAGCAAGAAAGTGACACCCTTACATTAAAGAAAGTCAAATTTACTATGTGTCAACCCAAAGCAACTACTTTTCTCATTTTTCTATTTTTGAGGCAATAACATAAGAGACAAACAAATGAATACCTGAGGTATTTTATAGAGAACAGTATACACATATTTTGTTTAAAATTTACTTTCTTGAAAACCCAGCTATACATCCTTCAAAGTTTAGAAATTAGAGGATAGAAAATTGTGATGACTTTAAAATTTCCCAAACGAGTGTTATGCTATACTGAAATTCCAATGACTCTTACCTAAGTTGTATAACAATTAATAGGACAAAAATAGTCTTATTGGGAACCAAACTAGGTGTGTGTGTGTGTTTGTGGTTATTTTAGCTCTTTCTCTTTCTATTGAAACACTCACAGAATCAATAATTTTCAGTAAGATAACTCTTCAGAAATGGTGTCTTAAATTCATGAATTTAGGTATTTGTATTTTCCTACTATATTTATCTTTGAATGTACTGTAACATTACTGCTTAGTTTGAGAATTTCTGAAGTCTAATTCACAGGCTAAAACTGTCTTACTAAATTCTATTTAAATTTCCTATGCAAAACCAATTTTGCACTTGTTTTCTATTTTTTTTTTTAATCCTCACCCGAGGACGTTTTTCCATTTCTTGTTCAGATAGAGTGGGAGGGAGAGAGAGGAAGAGAGAGAAACATCGACGTGAAAGGGACACATCGAGTGGTTGCCACCCGCACGACCCAACCAGGGCCGGGGACAAACTGCAACTGATGTACGTGCCCTTAGCAGGAACCAAACCCGGGTCTCTCTGGACCGCAGGCTGATGCTCTAACCGCTGAGCAAAACTGGCCAGGGCTCCTATTTTTTTATGTAATACTTTATGTTATTAATTTTCTTTTTTATTGGTTTTAGAGAGAGAGGAAATGAGAGGGAGAGACAGACAGAAACATCGATGAGAGAGAACATCGACTGGTCACCTCCAGTGTGCCCCCCCCACTGGGGATCAGGCCCACAACCTGGACACGTGTCCTGATTGGGCAGTGACCTCTTGGTGCATGGGTCGATGTTCAACCACTGAGCCACACCAGCCGGACATGATTTATTTTTTAGTTTTATAACAATAAACAATTTTGAATTTATAATTTAATTTTCAAAATACTCAAATTCATAAGCTACTAAGAGAATACACCTTGAAAGTTCCCTCTACAAAAAAAAAATTTTTTTGTAACTATGTGTGGTGATGGACATTAACTGGACTTACTGTGGTGATCATTTTTCTATATAAATATTGAATCATTATTCTGTACACCTGCTATATGTCAATTATATCTCAATAAAAAAAGTTCAGAAACAAACAAGATAATTCAAATTTACAAAAATTCCACTCATAAAATAAAATGTGTGCATATCAAACGAAAACATCAAACCTCACCTCACAATTTGCACTCTGGTTCTCTGATTTAAACTTTAGGAATAAAAACTCTATCAAACAAGTGCTGGCGAGGGTGACTCTAGCACACTGAAAAGGGGACTCTAGCACACTGCTGATGGGAATGCAGACTGGTGCAGCCACTATGGAAAACAATATGGTGTTTTCTCAAAAAACTGAAAATTGAACTTCCATTTGACCCAGTGATCCCACCTCTAGGAATATATCCTAAGAACCCTGAAACACCAATCAGAAAGAATATATGCACCCCTATATTCATAGCAACACAATTTACAACAGCTGAGATATGGAAACAGCCCAAGTGTCCATCAATAGACGAGTGGATAAAAAAGCTGTGGTATATTTACACATGGAGTACTATGTAGCTGTAAGAAAGAAAGATCTCTTATCCTTTGAGAGGACATGGAGAGTATTATGCTAAGCAAAATAAGCCAGTCAGAGAAAGACAAGTATCACATACTCTCACTTATTTGTGGAATATAATGAACAAAATAAGCTGATGAACAAAACAGACCCAGAACATAGAAGTAGGGATCAGATGGACAAACCTTAGAGGAGGAGGGGGGAGGGAAGAGATAAACCAAAGAACATATATGCATAACCAATGGACATAGACAACACTGTGAAGGGGGGGGGGGGAGCAGGGAGAAGGGTGTCAATGGTGGAAAAAGGAGAAACATCTGTAACAAAAATAAATTAGTAAAATTTGTAAAAAAAAAAAAAAAAAAAAGTATAAGCTCTAGTCTGGCCAGTGTGGCTCAGTGAATTCAGCGTCGTCCCATGGACTGAGAGGTCCCAGATCAATTCCCGGGCAGGGCACATGCCCGGGTTGTGGACTCAAAACCCAGTAGGGGATGTGCAGGAGGAAGCCACTCGATGTTTCTCTCTCATTGATGTTTCTCTCTCTCTCTCTAAAAAAAAAAAAAAAAAAAAAAAAAAAAATCAATTAAAACATATTTAAAAAAGAAAAGAATAAAACTCTAAGCAGTCACTGAAATAAATTTCTATTTCTTTGTCTTTGAAAATCATAGTGATATCGTTACTTTTTAAAGAACTATATATTAAGTTGTGGTTAGAAAAACATAAAATTTACTATCTAGATTACTTTTAGGAGTATAGTTCACAGACACAGTCAACAGTGTGGTGATTTTGGGTTGGGGGGATGAAAGTGGGTAGAGGTGGAAGAAGGCATAGAGGGGATAAATTGTTATGGAAAAAATAAAATAAAAAACAAATTTAAAAAAGAGTCTAGTTCAGTAGTGTTAACTACATTCACAATGTTGTGCAACAGATCATCTAGCAAAACTGAAACTCTACATGCACTGAATAACTCAATATGTCCTCCTACCCCAAACCCTGGCAACCACAATTCTACTTTATGTTTCTATGAGTTTGAATACTTTAGATACCTTATATAAGTGGACCCAAACAGTATATCTATTTTGTGACCATCTTACTTCACTTACCATGATGTCCTTGCTCCTTGTTTCAAAATTCTTTTCCAAAGTAAAAATATTCTAATTTTTCTGATTACAGTGCCATAAGCTCATATAAAAGCACTACAATATAAAGTTTCTCTAGCTGCTCTGTCTGTGAAGTAGCCTACTCTCTGCCTCACTGCTTCACTGAGAAACTCTTTTTTTATTTTAAATTCTTAAAAAAAAATCTCTATAATTCCCCATCCCTCCAATTCCCTTTTTTACATACATATCCATGTGAACACGTAAAATATCTATCTATGCAAATACATTTTATTTAATCTATTCCTGACCAATAGGCATTTAGAGGTGTTTTCCTTTTTTTTTTATCCTCACCCGAGGACATTTTTCCATTTTTTGTTCAGGTAGAGTGGGAGGGAGAGAGAGAGAGAAACATCGACGTGAAGGGACACATCGAGTGGCTGCCACCCACACAACCGACCAGGGCCGGGGACAAACTGCAACCGAGGTACATGCCCCTAGCGGGAACCGAACCCGGGTCTCTCCGGACCGCAGGCCGACGCTCTAACCGCTGAGCCAAACCGGCCAGGGCGAGGTGTTTTCAATATTTTGTTTAAGAGCCAGGTGGCTATGAACACCATATACCTGAAGATGTATTTTTACATATTCCAGTCGTTTCCTTGGAAATAAATTTCTAGAAGTTGAATTCCTAAGTTTAAAGGCACTGATTTTTTTTGCAAGGCTTCTGATTTGTATTGCTAAACTGATGTCCAAAGAGGATACATTTATTACAGTCGCAAAATCTTATATAAAAATGCCTATTTCAAAACTAATCATTATAATCAAATCTGGGCATTATTAACCTTTGTCAATTTTACTTTTGCATTATGTCTTTGATTATTAATAACAGTAAGTGCATTTTCAAGCATACTGGCCATTTGTATTTCTTTTGTAAATTTATAAATTTTAGGCATTATGCCCCCATTTATTTTTTTTCACTGTCTTTTACATAGTGCAAGTAGTAATCTTTTAAATGGTAGGGGGAAAAAAGGCTAAGATTCTCTACTGTCAGCAGAGCAAAAACATGTCTCAACTTTAATAAAGGTGTCTTTTCTAGCATATTATATCGTTATATGCTTAAATAATCAAATCTGTTAATCTTTTCTTTATGGTTTCTTACCTTAGTGTTATATTTAAATTCTAAATTACTAATGTCCTTTATATGGTTAAAGTTTTACCATCCAATAGCATAATGAAAGTAAATAATAATAACCCAAGCAACAGAAGTCCCACTTCTGATATAATAATATTATGATAAAATAATTCAAATTTTCTGTAATAAAATTTATTAATTTTCTTTAAACTTATATCCTGAAGGCAGCAGACAGCTTGAGCTTCATATGTAGTTCAACATTTTCATGAACTTTTGGGCATCTGACATACTTTTCTTTGAAGAAAAAAGTATATGCCAGAAAACCATTTTTCAAAGTGGTTAACTTAGATTCTATAAACTCAATAGCAGTTTTGTTATCAAACACACTTGTGAGGTGATGATAACACTATTTCAGAAAATTCACAGAAGAGTTTTGCTGTTCATACCTTTTTACAGAAACATAAGGGCTAATCATCGAAATTTTCAAAAAGAGAACAGCTCACTTGTTGGGCAGAAGTACTTTTCTAATCTATTGTAGAAGATAATGTGGTGTTGTCTTCCTTCCTCCTTTTCCTCATGGTGTGGCAGTCACTGGGTTTAGATGAGATGGTATGTAGCAACATTAGTAGCAAAAGGGCTGCAACATTGCACTGGTTGGCCCTGTCTAGCCTAAAACGACTCTAATCCCAGCCCTGTGAGATAAACCAGCCTGAGGATGAAGCTGACAACAGAGGGCTATGTAATGTAACTGGAGTACAATAAATTCTCTTTGTTTAATCCAGTTTGGGTTGTGTTTTCTGTTACTTGTAACTGAAAGAATGCTAACACAAAGCAGGATCTAAATGATCTTCTATGCAAAATGAACAAAAAACTATTGAACTTATCTGGAACTAAGAAAATTTTTCTTCGAAACAACTTTCTACTCAAACTTACTGTATCTCATGTATAATTTTAACAGTAAAACTTGAACACAACATTTATCAATATGTTTAAAAGTCACAACTATAGAAGCCAGAACATCTTTTCCCTCTTATCCCAGAGGGACATGGGATCTGTGTGTGTAAGGCAGTGAGAAGTGTCAGTTGTGGATGGTGTACTAAGGTCCTCTCTCTGGTTTACCTGTCATTGTTTTTCCTTGAAAGATGGGAATTCAGAGGGTACCATTAGGGAAGAAAGATGATGGACACATTTATGGAATATAATAAAAAGAGACATAGGTGAACTGGAGGAGTGCTAACAAATGATAGGCAAAGGGTTTAGAAGTGACAAAATGTTAGCCCTGCAAATAATTTACCTTTAGAAGTAATTAATTGCTCAATCTGCCAAATAGGGTCAATGGACCAAAAAAGGCAAATTTGCCCCAAAAGTAATATCCATAGTCACCACAAGTAACCAACTTCTGGTCACTTCATATTATTATAGATCCCTGCTAACTAAAAGAAAATTTTTTTTCTTTATCCTCACCCGAGGACATTTTTCCATTTTTTGTTCAGATAGAGTGGGGGGTGGGGAGAGGAGAGGAAGAGAGAGAGAAACATTGATGTTAAAGGGACACATTGAGTGGCTGCCACCCACACAACCCAACCCAGGCCGGGGACAAACTGCAACCAAGGTACATGCCCTTAGTGGGAACCAAACCGGGGTCTCTCTGGACCACAGGCCGACACTCTAACTGCTGAACCGGCCAGGGCCTAAAAGAAATTTTAACAGCTCTCTCTTTAGGAACTCCGAATCAAAATGAGGAAGGTATGACTAGAATGCCATTTCAGGATAGGAAGGGCTAGTTTATAAGATTAGAACTAATGCCTGTTGTATAGCTCTACCTCTATGTGAACAGAGCTCTTTAAAGTCTACTAGCTTTTGCATAGCCAAACAATAGGGAATTGGGGAGGGGGGGGGCACTTAGGTGGAAGAAACTGTCACCATTTGTTAGTTATGCAACAGTATCTTTCAAACTTGCCTCAGTTTCATTAGTACTGAGGAAAAAACTGCCCTTTTCAGAAGATTGTTGGAAAGATCAGTTGTGATATGGATATAAAAGTCCTTTAGAGATACTGAATTTCTAAACAAATGTGAAGAACATTAAAAAGGCCTATGGTCTTTTCCAGAACATAACCCTGCCATTTACAAAATATTTTTTAGATACTTTTCTTTGGTCAAGGGCATATTCTTTTTTGTTTGTTTCTCTTTTCAACTTTGAAGACTACTTTACATATAAGAAACTATATCCACTTGGAGGCACACAGTTTGACGAGTTTTGACAATTGTATATATCCATAAATCCACCACTACTACAATCAAGACTCAGAACATTTTCATTGCCTTTATTGTTGTTGTTTTTATCCTCACCCGAGGACATTTTTCCATTTTTTGCACAGATAGAGTGGGAGGGAGAGAGAGGAAGAGAGAGAGAGAGAGAAACATCGACGTGAAAGGGACACATCGAGTGGCTGCCACCCGCACGACCAACCAGAGCCGGGGACAAACTGCAACCGAGGTACATGCCCTTAGCGGGAACCGAACCCGGGTCTCTCCAGACCGCAGGCTGATGCTCTAACCGCTGAGCCAAACCGGCCAGGGCTTTTCATTGCCTTTAAAATATGTTTTGTGCCCCCTTCCAGTCCCTTCCACCTCTGGTCCCAGCAAACCACTGATACGTCTTATCCCCAGCATGCAGGTACAGTATGCAGTAACTGTCTTGCATGAATAAATATAAAAACAAGTAATACAAAAAGTAAAGGTTTTTACCTGAGTTTCTTTCTTATTGGACCCCTCTTCTGTATCTGATTGTTGTTCTTGTTCATTTTCATCGCTCTAAAATAGATTGTCGATTTATTTTTAAAAGTTAAGATACATTTCAAACAGTTGATATTTAAATACTTTAGGGCTTTTCTAATTTAAAATGACCCTTGAGAAAAATCTATCAGGGAGATGGATCAAAAGGAACACCAATTTTTACATGGAAATTTTTTCTACCCTATTTTGAGGAGGCTTATTTGTCTGCATGGCACAATCTAAGTAGTCTAGCACATGGTGAAGAAAGACCATCTACCTAACAACCTGATTTAGGAAACACTCATATTGGGGATGAAGAAGTTGGAGGCTTAGCATAAGAAAGAAGACATTCCATTTTATATTTTAATAATACTACATGTATTTGAATAGTCAATATAAGTACTATTTAGCCATTCAACTCTAATGAGGTAGCCAAAATAGGAAATTCATTATCTTAAGCAAGAAAAGCTGGATTCTATAAGCTGGGCAAGATTTATGAAACAGTTCTATTACATTTAGGTAGTTTATTCATCTGTAAATTCCTTTGGAGTTTATAGCACAACAAATAGAAAATCAGTCTCAGTAGTTTAAAAGCCTAGAGTCCTAGAATATGGGACTATCCTACTAGAAGGTCTTGAACATCTTAACAAACTTTAAAGGGGTAAAAGAAAGAGAAAATTTGCATTCAAACATATCTATCTTAGGCTCACTGTAAAAACATCACAGGCTTTAAAACTAGATCATTCTAGCTTCAAAATGGTGTAACTGTTTTCAGGTATATAACTTAGGGCAAATTTATTTTAAATTTATCTGAGCCATAGTTCCCATATACACACAAGGATAAAAACTTCACAGAAATGCTGTGAGGATTAGAGAATATCTGTACAAGCTACCATTTTGGTACTTAGTAAAAAATTTTACGTGAACACCAGGCTAGGAACAGCAGAAATCGATGTTGCTGCTATTATCATTTATTAATATAAGTATTTTAACTCCATATCATAAGCCAATTGTCTTTATGTATTGCAGTTTCATGGGAGAACACAGGAACTGAAAAAAGAAAAGGGGAAAAGCTCAGAGGTCCTGAAAAGAAGTAACTAAAAATAAATAAATAAATAACCTGATAATACAATAGAGCAAAAAGCTGAGTAGATTCACACCACCTTTTCTTTGACACAACCCTGTTTTTTGTTTTTTTTTAATCTTCACCTGAGGACATTTTCCCATTTATCTTCAAATACAGTGAGGGGTAGGGGGTGAGAGAAAGAGAGAGACAGAGAGAAAATCATCGATGTGAGAGAGACGCATAGACTTGTTGCCTCCCACCTGACCCCGACCGGGGCCAGGGACTGAACCGCAACCAAGGTATGTGCCCTTGATCAGAATCGAAGCCCTGCACTCTTTGGTCTGCGGGCCTATGCTCTAACCACTGAGCAAAACTGGCCAGGGAAAACCTTGTTTCTTTTTGTATGTTGCATGATGTAGATGTGGCTAGGAAGAGGAAAGGAGAGCTGTGCTTTGATGGCTGATTAGAACACATTCAGTGCAGGCTCAAATTAAGATAAGTATTGCCAAATATTGATCTCAGGAAGGATCCTTATAATGCCAGAAACTGGAGTTGAAGGGAGAGCTGGTCTGAATTACACTGGGGAAAAATAAATACTATACTGTAAGAGATACAGCTTTGCCTATAAAATTCCTAACACATATTCGTTATTCAGAAGATAAACAAAATTTTTTTTTATCCTAACCCAAGGACATTTTTCATTTATCTTCAGATAGAGCGGGAAGGAGAGAGAGGGGAAGAGAGAGAGAGAGGAAAAACATCGATGCGAGAGAGACACACAGAGTGGCCGCCACCCACACAACCCCAACTGGGGCTGGGGACAAACTGCAACTGAGGTACGTTCCCTAAGTGGGAACTGAACCCGGGACTCTCTGGTCCATAGGCCGACGCTCTAACCGCTGAACCAAAATGGCCAGGGCTAAAAAAATTTTAAGTAATAAATTACTATGTTAAAGGTGCTAAGACTGTGAGGTTTTATTTTACTGTTATAATGTTATCAGGTAGTCAATTAAAATCAACTGTACATCATATACTTCCTGATGGAAGACAAAAATACCTTGCCAAAAAAATATTGAACCAGAATCTGATCAATTCTCTACTTGCAAATACCAATTGATAGGAAATAGAAAAAAACTACACTTCAAGAATAGGAGAACCCAGTTCATTCGAAAACAACTGTAAGAAAAAAAAATAGGATGGAGAGAGAAATTTACTGATTAAAAGAGACTTTAAAGAGATAATTAATTTTCATGTGTGGTCCTATTTGACTCCTAATCAGACCAGCAAAATATTAAACTACAACAACAGATCATTTATGGCATATATGAATTACTGAACATTAAAATTAACTGAATATTTAATATTAAGGATTCAGTGTTAATTTATTTAACAATAAGCATGATCATGGCATTGTGATCATTAAGTGATAACACTGTGGTTATTATTTTTAATAATTAAAAAAAACCTTATCTCTTAAAAATACATATTGAAAATTTTACAGATAAAACGATATATCTAAGATTTTTTCAAAATAATATGGAAATTGGCAAAATGGTGAGAAATTAACTTAAATGGATACCTGAGGTGGGGTCATTATAATTTTCTGTTACTTAAAAAAATTTTTTTCCTTTATTGATTTTGGAGAGAGAAGAAGGGAGAGGGAGAGACAGAAACATCAATGAGAGAGATACATTAATTGGCCACCTCCTGCATGTCCCCGACTGGGGATCAGGTCTACAACTTGGGCATGTGTCCTGACTGGAAATTGAACTGGTGACCTCTAGGTGCATGGGTTGATGCTCAACCACTGAGCCACACCGGCCGGAGTTTTGTTACTTTTGTATGGCTGAACTTTTCTATATTTAAAAAAAAAAAAAAGGCAAAAAAATCAAGTGGTAAAAAAACAAGACAGGTCCAGCGGGTGTGGCTCAGTGGTTGAGCATCAACCCATGCACCAAGAGTCCCTGGTTCAATTTCTGGTCAGGGCACATGCCCAGGTTGTAGGCCAAATCCCCAGTGGAGGGCAGGCAGGGGGCGGTCAACAGATGCTCTCTCATCAATGTTTCCATCTCTCTCCCTCTCCCTTCCTCTCTAAAATCAATAAAGGGAAAAAAATTAAATAAATAAAAGGTCACTCACCTTACATAAAAAAAACACAATACAAAACAAATTATGTTTGCTCTACTACAGGTGTACATTGTATTGAAACTGAAAATTTCTCATCATAACCATGGACATAGACAACAATGCTGGGGGTGGGGGTGGGGGTAGGGAAGAGGGTGTCAATGGGGGAAAAGGGAGAAACATCTGTAACAAAAAAAAAAAGAAAGAACATTTCTCATTAACAGAGCTATCCTATAGTTCTTTTTTCTCCTTCATGTGAATAGCAATGCCAGGCATACATATAGGAATTAGGAAAATAGTTAAATTCAATAGGATTAATTGTTACAATTTGGTAAGTAAATCACTGCTTCTGTCCAGTATCATTGAAGACAAAAATAATTGTTATGTGTATATCTTCTAATCATGTTATAAAATAGGATTAAATGTAAAGCATCTTTCTTTTAAGAGCCTCTAAGATGAGAGCAGTTTAGTCATTATACAATAATCAATACATGTAGGCTGAGCTGCAGTCATTGTTTTTATTCCAAAAGAGCTCCTGCTTTAATACCAAAAATGTAAGTAGTTGTTAACTATCCTTTATTAAAGAACTTTTCATATTTCATAACCTGTCTCAACCACACATAGAGATGACCTAAAGAATATATAATCTGAGGCATGTAAGATATTATAGTAAATACTTTTGAAAAGAAGCATACTAGTCTTGGCTGGGTAGCTCAGTTGGTTAGAGCATTATCCTGATAAGCCAAGGATGAGGATTCATCCCTGATCAGGGCAAATATAAGAATCAACCAATGAATACATAAATAAGTGGAACGACAAATCAAAGTTTCTCTCTCCAAAATCAATTTTAAAAAAAAGCATAGTATCAAAAAATTATATTTTAATAGGTTCTCACATCTTGTGTCCAAAATGAAACTCCAGTAGATCTTCTTTTCTCTCTTGGTCGCCGTCGTTCCCTGATTGATTTAGGCTGTGATTTATCTTCTCCTTCTTTCTCCTCTTCTCTCTTTTCTCCCTCTGTTAAGGATTACAATGCACCACATGGTAGCAATGTATCTTGACAGTATTTTGCAAGACAAATGTAAAAACAATTCTAAGTCAACCTCCTTTGTGAAGCCTTCTAAAATTCCCTAATCATTATCAAATTTTGCCCCTCAGTGTTCCCTAACACTTGGTTTAAACATGTATGTGTATCTCTCATCAAATACATTCTTCAGGATCAAGACAAAAACTAATTTTAATTGCTTCATTTTCCCATTGCCTAAAACAGAAGTTTTGCTCAAAAGATATACTTAATATTTGCAGAACGGAAAATAATTAAATCCTAAGACAAGAATGGGACTCTAGATTTTAATGTCCGATAGGGTAATAGTTACTATTCCCAAAGTTAACAAGAAAATAAATAGTTCTTAATGATCGAACAGCTAGTACGCATCATAACGTCATCAGTTTCTAATTCTACTATTCCAAGTCCTCATTCAGCAGAATAAATACAGTATTCATTTCATTTATTTAAATAGCATCTAAGAACAAATCTTTTTTAATCTGGAAAAAAAAAATCTTTTGTTTAAAAAAGTTAACATAAAAAATATTCTTAAAATTTGTTTCCTTCGTGGGACAGTTAAAATTGCTTCAGACATATATACCAGAAGAATATAAGGACTTCTGAATATGCTTTAAGAAGTACACATATACAGAACAAAGTAATGATTTTTATAAGGCTTCTTTGTATCATTAGCAAAGAATCACAACTCAAAATTATAGTATTAAGAGGAGCTTATAAAAATTATTTTTGGAATCAGTTTAGAGCAAAGATCTCAAACTCCAATGCATACAGGTGGCAATCCAGGTAATAAAAATGTATAAAAGGGGCCAGGAGAGTACTTCTCCAAGGGGGTGGGAGCTGCTACTACTTGCCTCTAGCCAAATGATGATGAGAGAATTCAGACCCAGTGATGCCAAATTTTCCAATTATGCAAAATATTAATGATTTTAAATATTGGCTCAACATTTTTATAAACATTATGTGGACCTCTCAACTTAGTGGATTAAAAAACTAAGATATCTCAATGATCAACAAAAGAAAAGCAGCTGGAAGTTAGGAAAAACTTAATTTTCTGAAGTCTACTCACATGATTACTGCTATTATCATGACTAAAACTATGAGATTTTGCTTTTAAAACATAAAATGCCTATTGTTAGGAATAATTTTAGTTAGTACCCACCTCTGATTTAAAGTAGTAATTAATTAGAACTTAGATAAAAAGTTTATATGAAATAATTGGAAATGTTAATAGTGAGCATCAGGACACCAATATAACTAGAAAAAAAAAACCTGTTTCTTAAGAAAGAAATAAGCATAAAAACAACTTTGCTTTAGCAACGCTATGTGTTAAGTGATTTTAGCTTAAATCAACTTTACAAAAAATATGTAAAAAATATGATATTCATAACAGGTAATAAATACTTAAAGCACTAATAAACTATTCCACCAATTCTTCTATATTGACTTTTCTATACTGGTAGACATAAAGATTTTTGTGGCAGCTTAGATTATAAAGATATATGTATCAATGCCAGTTCATATGTTTTTATTTTCATTTTCTATTCTTCTCATTCTCAACCATCTTATCCTTTAGGTAGAATGACTCAGTTTAGAATGTTGTTTCTTTTCTGTTGAAATATTAATTTGGAAAAACCAATTTAAAGGATTATTTGAAGGAAACAAAGTGTTTTCAAAATTTGGTCTTCTTACCTCTTTCATTTTCTTTTGTTAATCCTCGTGAGTAAGCAGAAGTTATACCTACAAGACTATTTGGCCTGTTTAATTGACTTGAAGCATAGAGTGAACTGCTCATGGTAGAAAGTGAAGAGGATGGAGTGGTTGAACTTGAAGTTGATACTGATCTGTAACGCTGATAAGTCTGTGAAATATTAGATGTAAAATCCATTTGAAATATTAAACACACTTAAAAATATATAGAACAGTTCAATTCAATGGAAAAGTAATGTTCTACGCATGTTAAAATAATTCAGATTTCTAATTAAAATCCTTTGAGTATTTTGTTATGATTCGTTGGTATATAAATCTCTCTTGAATTTTGAAAATCATAAGAATTATTCCTACCATTTGACCTAGCTGTGTCTCTGGTATATTATTACCTCATCATATGTTCTGGAATACTTTTGCTTATATTCATCTTCTCTAGATGTTTCTGACTCCTTTTTTTCTTCTTGCTTCTCTTTATCCTGTTTTTCTTTTTCCTCTTTTTCTTTTTCTTCATTTTCTTGTTCTCTGGTTCGGGTAGAACGACTTCTTCCTATTGTTTTTTCAGCTTCTTGAAGATCAGTCAATGTCACCCCCTACACAAAAAAGATAAATTTAATTATGAGGCATTAAAACTCATTTTGAAGGAATACTGTATAAATAGATAAAGTAAATGTGAATGTATTAAAAGTCAAATATGCATGTTTGGAATTGGTCTGCAAACAATTTCTACTTAGCAAGTCACGTTCATTCTATGAAAAATCATCAGGAACAAGCACAATAATAGATTTAAAAAATTAAATATGAAAAATATTCTCTCTGTATTCAAGTAATTAAGAAAATAGCACAGGAGATGACAGAAATACCATATAAATATAAATATTCCCAAAAAGTTCAGCACAAGAAGAAAAAACCAAAAGTGCAGTTTACATATTAAATTTATATGTATTTATGTTTTTATATATGTATATGCACATAGAAATTTCAGTAAAGAAATAATTTTGAAGGTTAAGCTTTGAAGAACAGGTTAGATTTTAAGAAGACAGAAAAATATGTTAAGATTATGGCAAAAAGTTTAGCTTGATATATGAGTAATGGCAAGGCTCAAACAGCTAAGCCAGAACTTTGGTGTTCAATTGGAGAAAAGGAAAGACACAAAGGAATATATGGAATACAATTCCAATGGCAAGGAGGACGCAATTAAACGATAACTAGTCTGAGTGACATTTTTCTCATACTTGCACAGCAATGATTTGATATACCTAATGAACCTATTCCCTTCCAACTCCAAATAGTCACTGAATTCTTTAGTAATTATTAGATACCATATATGATTAAGTCATTTTAACACTTATCAAATACTTTCTGCCAGATACCATATTAGGAATAAAAAATACAGAGGTATAAGGCATATGCTAATAAGATAAAATAGGACATTAATAGTGTAACCTTATAAAAAAAGGCTATAGGAGGAGTACTAAAGTGATTTTTATCTTTAAAGATTTACTTACATTATATACTTATATCAATTTATCCACAGAAAAGGAAAAAGGAAAAGTGAAAAGGAAACTTTATTTTGAAGTTTCATATATTACAGACATTAAATATACCTGCGTTGATCTTCTAGACTGTCTTGCTTGTCTAGATCTTGCTTTTCTTTGGGATTCAGACTCTTCGTCTCTAACAGGAGTGAGGTATGATCTACAGTAATACATAATAATCATTAGTTGGAGATACAATACCTGTGAATGTTATTACATACAAATGTGAGAGTAAAACATAAAAGTTTAGTATTTTAGTAGATTTTAAGAAAAAGTCTTCAGAAAATGGTTACATCCACTCTGAAATTTAACAATGCAATCTGATAATTTTTTAGATTAGACAGAACTAATCATATTAACATTTCACATTTTAAAAATTCTTCCTAACTAAAAATAATAACAACAAAAAACTATATGATGTAATTCCTCTCAGTCCCTTTTTTTTATTTTCCTGCAACACCTCCTTCAATCATATGTCAAGTTATCTGGCTAAACTCTAGACCATCTATGTCTTTACAGTACAATGGTTGGGACTGAATACAACATTCAGGATATAGGATGACTCCCTGCATTCATGTCGTTGGGCATTTATTAATAATGTTTTTTGTTTTTTTTGACAGACATCATATTCTTGTTCACACTATGAGTTCTCTAAAAATCCAAGTGGTTTTATACATGAACTGTTTTAAAATCAGCATTATTCTTGGGAAATTGATTTCCTAATATTAAGAAGAGAACTCAGTATTTATCTTCACTAAATTTCATCTTATAAGTCTAAGCCTATGTTCCATCCTGTCTTAGGACATGCATAATTTCAAAAGCATGCACTCTATGATCAAAAATAAATAATTAAAGAGTTGAGTTGAATAAAGAAAGATAAGACAGAGCCCTGCAAAACAAAACAAAACAATTTCCCTCAAATGATCAGTATTACTTCAGAAGTTTTCTTTTTGTATTCAGGGCTCTGTCTCATAATTTTCATTGTCTATATATCAACTCTAGAGTTTTGAGTTTTTATTTATTTATTTTTAATGCTTAAGGATCCCAGAGAGGGGGAGAGGGGAAGAGAGAGAGAGAGAGAGAGAGAGAGAGAGAGAGAGAGAGAACGAACACACACTGATTGGCTGCTCTCCACATGTGCCCCAATAGGGGATGAACCCACAACCTAGCTTTGTGCCCTTGCTGGAAATCAATCCACAACCCTTCCGGTGTAAGAGACAACGCTCCAACCAACTGAGCCACAGTGGCCAGGGCTAGAGTTTAAGTTTTTTTTAGATATAACAGATACTTCCTATTTTTATAACAATGCTGATGATTTTTCTAGGAGAAGTAATATAAAAGAAGAAAAAGAATAACCAATAAATCTATTAGTTTTAAAAACATTAATTCTGAAATATGATGAGGAGGTTGTTTGTTGACATTGGTGTTTTAATTTGGAAAATGCTATACATTCTAACTTGTCTCCAGGAAGATCACAACATATTAAAGGATCTGAGGGTCTGAGAAGTACTAAGGGAAGACTGATTTAACTGTGTTTAAAGCAGCATTTCCCAAAATCATTTAAATAGGAAATATTTTCCCCCCTTTGGTGGTATAGCCATTAAACATGGAAAAGTGCTCCATAAGACATCAGCTTGGAAAATATAGTCCAATGGCTATTCTCTTCATCCATTCATTTAAAACGTAATTATCCATCAACAGGCTCTATGGAATTTATTGCTTTTTGTACTTCTACTAGAAGAGAAGAAAATAATAAAAGGGGATGAAACTTAAATGTGACAGCAAATCTGGTTAAGCAAAAAGTTTATGGTAGCCCATATGGTTGCACATCACTTCAGCATTTCATGAGCTCCTATAAAAGTAAGCATGAACATGAACTATTGAATTCTAACTCCTACTATTTATTTAGGCTAAGTTTTCATATTTAATTTAGAATAAGGAAATATGTATTGCCACTTGGCCCTTTTAACCCCATTGCAAATCACTAAAGACCATTATACTCTTTTCAAGGAGGCAAGATTATTTTTCAGAAGTTTCAAGTTGCCATGAAAGTTAGTAAATCTATTTATTATATCTGATTTAATATAATTGGATTAGGGGATAAATATTAATAGTTAGAAGACTTGTAAAATCTGTTCATTTAAAATTCCCATACAGTTGCCCCAAATTAGAATAAAAATCTAGCTTATCAACTTCTAAAAAATATATTTTCTATATTTGATAGTCTCCACATGATGTTCAGCTCCTTTCTTCATCCTTGGAGTGCTTTTATAGACCAGACCTCTAAGAAAAAGATGTAGAAAAGAAAAATAGTTCATATATTTTATGTATTTTTTTTTTTAATCCTCACCCAAGGACATTTTTCCATTTTTTGTTCAGACAGAGTGGGAAGGAGAGAGAGGAAGAGAGATAGAGATAGATAGATGAGAGAGAGAGAGAGAGAGAGAGAGAGAGACATCGACGAGAAAGGGGAAAGGGACACATCGAGTGGCTGCCACCTGCACGACCAACCAGGGCCGGGGACAAACTGCAACTGAGGTACACGCCCTTAGCGAAAACCGAACCTGGGTCTCTCTGGACCATAGGCCGACGACACTTTAACCGCTGAGCCAAACTGGCCAGGGCTATTTTATGTATTTTTAATTCCAAAGAGCTGATCATAAAAAAGAGAGTAGAATATACCAGTGAAACTCCATCGCTGCCTTAATCATTAGGATATCATACTGTCAGATTAGATCTCTCACTTTAAAAAAAATCTTCATCCAAGAATATGTTATTATTTAAAAAAATTGATTTAGAGAGAAAGGTAGAGAGAGAGAGAGAAGGAGAAAGACATTGATGTTAGAGAGAAACATCAATCAGTTGCCTCCCATACACAACTTGACCTGGGGTTGAACCCACAACCTAGGCATATGCTCTGACCGGAAATTGAATCCATAACCTTTTGGTATACAGGTTGACATTCCAACCAACTGAACCACCTGGCCAGGGCAGCCTGGATCTCTTTCATATAACTACATAGGATATGTAAGTTCACTCCCTAGGTAGTCTTATATTGCTTACAATTTTCTGAGCAACCCAAAAGTTGTTATTTTTAAATTAAATTTTTTTCCAATAAATGCAATTGTTCAATATGTCTATTTTATTCCACTGGCATTTATTGGCCAAAAAAAAATTTTTTTTAAATCTTCATCCAAATACATTTTTCTAATTATCTTCAGACAGTGTGGGAGGGGGAGAGGGGGAGAGAAAGGGAGAGAGAGAGAAACATCGATGTGAGAGGGACACATCGACTGGTTGCCTCCTGCATGACCCCGACCAGGGCCAGGGATGAACCGCAACTGAGGTACATGCCCTTGGCCGGAAATGAACCCTTGATTCATTGGTCCGTGGGCCAATGCTCTACTGCTGAGCCAAACCAGCTGGCCAGGGCTGGCCAAAATATTTGTATTTATTTAAAAGTTTATATTTTGGTTAGTCAACCAATTTACATCTTTAAAAACCTGAATACCAACCCTTGTTTCTCACTAAGCTTTGTTCTTTCCAGAGAAAAGATAAATGGGCAAATGGGAGCTGGCTGAGTGAAGGGAGAATGGTGGAAGAGAGGAGTTATACTAGAGCAACAGTTCCATGTGAATCTATGCTACAAATACAAAGTTATTAGTTAGGTATTATCTTGCAGTTTGAAAAGACTATGGAGAATTAGAAATACTTAAAACCATGAAAGAATTTGCTATCATGCTCCATCTATCTAAAGCTAGCTTCTCCTCTTTATCGCTCGCCCCAAATTAATCCACTGGAAATCTTAACTAACCAAAATAGGACTCTTCAGCCAATCAGATCAATAACACAGGAAAATTCTAAAATATGGTGGAATTTAATAGAGTACATGGTAACCTTACATAATATCCAAAAGTACATATATAATAGTACCTAAAATAGCACAAATGTGTTGACCTAATTTTTTTCAGCCACAATATATTCTTAAATCATCATATACATATTTTGGGGGCATAATTCCAACCATATACATTTCAAAAAAATTCATTAAAAGACAAACAGAAGAGGCCAACAATATATTCAAAATTGCAAACAAATACTTGACATGAAACAAAACACAAACATTAATATTACTGCAAACATCACTGAAACAAGGTAAGACAAACAAATTTTCTGTAAGAGACCAGGAAAAATGTCAATAGGCACATTTTGTTTCTAAGGCTATTAGAATCTGCTCTGTCCTTACATTATCTCCAAATATTTCTCAATCTTTTTTTAGTATATGTGCTGCCAAAGTGAGCACCATATCTTAATCTTTAATATCTTCTAGGATTAATTCTAAAAAGTTGAAACTCAATTTTCCATATGTAAAAAAAAAAAATCTGAGGTTAGCCTGACCAGTGTGGCTCAGTGGATTGAGCATTGTCCTATGCACCTGGTTCAATTCCTGGTCAGGGCACATGCCCAGGTTGCCGGCTCAATTCCCATTGTGGGGCAAGCAGAAGGCAACTGATCGATGATTCTCACATTGATATTTCTATCTTTCTCTCCCTATCCCTTCCTCTCTCTCCAAAAAACAAAACAAAGCAATAAAAACGTATTTAGTAAAAAAAAATAAAATAAAATAATCTGAGATTTAAAAACTGTAATCTGTTCTGAAACAACATATGATTCTGGGAAGATATTCATTAGACTTTAATAGTCACTGAAATAAATTTAAAAGCATGAAAAGCTAGAATTCAAAAGGATTCTGGGCCCTGGCCAGTTTGGCTCAGCGGTTAGAGCGTCGGCCTGCGGTCCGGAGAGACCCGGGTTCGGTTCCCGCTAAGGGCACATACTTCGGTTGCAGTTTGTCCCCGGCCCTGGTTGGTCGTGTGTGTGGCAGCCACTCGATGTGTCCCTTCACGTCGATGTTTCTCTCTCTCTCTCCCTTCCTCTCTCCCCCTCCCACTCTATCTGTATAAAAAATGGAGAAATGTCCTCGGGTGAGGATAAAAAAAAAAAAAGGATTCTGGAAGTTAAAAATTATTAAATCAAATACCTCATTTTACAGAAGACTGTCTATTTATGGACACTATGTGTCAGAAATAAAGTCAATCTGAGAATTCTAAATTTAGGAGTAAGGCAGAACAATATTTTAGTAAAAAAAAATAAGTTATATAGCTAATTTAATTTTTCACTTTTTTTTAAAAAAATTATTTTATTTATTGATTTGGGAGAGAGGAAGGGAGAAGGAGAGAGAGATAGAAACATCAGTGAGAGAGAACACTGATTGGCTGCCTCTTGCATGCCAACTGGGGAACGAGCCCACAACTTGGGCATGTACCCTGATGGGGAATGGAACCAGCTAACTCTTGTTGCTTGGGTTGACTGAGCCACACAGGCCGAGAGCTAATTTAATTTTTCCAAGAATAAAATATAAAAAAGGTTATATTTTAGCTCGTAAGATTTTCTTCTTTCTCAAGAAGAAAAACAATATTCAGAGCTAGGGACTATGAATAATATAGCAGAAAGAAGACTGGACTGATTCTTCTGTAATCTTGGGCATAACTTTAGCTCTCACAACAACTATGCATAGTGGAAAAGACACTTAATATCTATGGGTTTCAGTTTCTGTAAATCAAGGATTATCACAAAAGATAATAGGCTGTAACTTCCTTTCTACATCTATGATTCTATACCACTGACAGCAGCACACAAAATAAATTCATAGACCCTTAAAATATTTAATTAATGAGTGTCTTCTATGTATCAGAATTAAGACTAAGTGAATATATTCATTATAGTTAAAATTATTTGTCTTATAAATATGCACAAGAAGCAAGTTTTCACCAAGAGAATCTTAAAATGAAATTCTCAAAAATAACAAAAACAGTTTAACATCCATCAGATTTCTTAGTAATGGTGGGAAACAATGAGAAGAATAAAAAAACCTGTTTTTGTAATGTTGCACCTGGTTTGCCACGAGTGTACTATGTGTGTTTAGATTATCATAAAATTTTGAATTAAACCAATCATTAAAAAAAGTAAGATGGCTAAGTAAGAAAACAACTGTCTGGCTCACTGCCTTTAAGCAAAAAACATCAATTCTGTTTGAGGAGGATTAGCAAGCCTGAGTGCTAATAATATCAATTTACATAGCTCTGAGCTGATACAGGTTATTTCATTTATTAACCTACTGGAGAGATGGTCACCAACTTTACAAGATTGAAAAATCAAAACAAAACAAACAACTTTCATCACTGGGCAAGATATAGCAGCAGTTCTAGTAGGACCTTTACACACCTGCGTCTCTCCCTGACCTCTGATGTAGAGGAGACAGTGCCGGCAGTAGTTGTGGTCAGGGTTGTGGTAGAGGCTGCAGCATTTACAACAGTTGGAGCAACAGGAATGGTCACTGCCGTAGGAACACTGTCCTTTTCTTTTTCAGTACTATCCTCAGCCCACAAACGATTTGAGGTACTATAGCATCACAAGCAGCAACACAAAAAGAGAAAAGGAAAACAGCTAAACAATGAAAGCATTTTCTAGCAGCTGAAAACGTGTGACTACAGGGATGGATTTTTTTTTAAAACACAAGGCAAGACATTTTTCAACTATGAGCCAAAAAGCTCAACCAGAGCTATCAAAGACAGAAATTTGTATTTTGAGCAGCCTAATTCAAGAGAAGTTCAAAATTCAGGAATCTAATCCCCGCCCCAGACATGCATCACAGACTCTTTTTGAAATCAATTGTTTTGTAAATAATTTTAACTAGGTAAATGAAAAAATCCAGAGCCCCACAATCTTCTAAACAAAAATGCATGCACATACATAAGCACACAGTAGGCCTGAACACAAAATGTATCTGTGACTCACCTGCTTTGTGTGCCTGCTGAGGAAGAACCCGTTGTAATCTTTGTAGTAGTGCTTGTGCTGGAAAGCAGGCTTTTCTGAAGCCCAGCTGCAGAGGTAACTGTTGGTGTTGATGTGGTGCTTGGAACACTAGAACTAATCAAATCATCTTGTCTTCTACCAAAGGAGCAACTAAAGGAAAGAGTCATATCTATATAGGATGTGTTTGTATGTGTGTTCTATAGTTAATGTCTATACATTATACAAATTTACAAGGCTAGGGAAAATCTAAAAAACCGTGTTCCTAAATACACCACCAGCTCCAGCACCAAGAGTTGCACCTACAACTTGCTAGAGTCTAGATGACTTCACTAATTTGGTAGTGTATCATTTTACTGCCTCCCCACCTCCCTCAACAAAACTCAAACATGATCTAACCTGATATTTTACATTTTCTGGAACAGGGTGGGTCTGATAAAAACACCTTGGTTTGGATTTACTTGGGGAAAGTTAAGACTGACAGTTTTGAAGAAAATTGTGTCAGTGATGGGTCACATCTTTAGCAGTGATCCATGCCTATATTGTGCTTGTTTGTCTTTTACTCTATTTTTTGGTTGCTTTTAGCCATGAAATAATTTATAGTCCCCCCCCCCCCCAATATGATGTTGGTAATATCATGTATCAAATCCGAGGCATTTCCATAGCTCTGGGTTCTAAGACAAGTGAAAACTTATCAGGTCACCAAATGATGACCAGATCAATGAAGACAACGATCTATTTCAACTGCTCCAGTCAATTATATAAGGAGTTCCTTTTTAATATGCTACAATCCAAAAGATACTTCCACAATGTATTAAATTTAATATATATATAATAGGTCCTCAAATAATGTTATTTTGCTCAATATCATTTCATTATTAACACTGATGAGATGTCGTAGGAACTTAACTCTTGTTTATGTCAATTAACCTAAGGTAAATTGGTTTCATCATAAATCATTTTGCTTTGAGTAGCAGAACCTACTGATGACATTATATGAGGACTCAACGTATTATAACAGGAAGGCATTAGTAGGAGCAAAGTTTCACTCATCTTTAAATATATATTGTCTTTAAACTAAGTTTTATTTAAACAAATGATACAGTTTTTAAAAAGCACATATTTTTTATATATTATTGAGGAGGTCCAAACTAATTGCCTCATATTTTTATAAAATACATAAAAGTTACTTAAGAATTATATTACTACCTTTTATGATAAGTTGATCCTTCATTAATTGAGCTATTCCTTTTGAGATCATCTTCCCATTTTCTTCTTGTATAGGAACTACTTGTACGCAAACTTGAAGAGTCTCTGTGAAAAGAATATCCTTCAGATTCTGGTAGATAATTTATAAATAGGGTAATAAAGCTGTATATTGATAAACATTAGTAGAAGTAGAAACTAAAAAAATATCCCTTGGGAAAACACTTTGGAGTATTTATTAAGAAGTGGAAATAATTCCAGTTCTAAAATTCTATTCTCAAGGTATAATCCTATTTTAGGGGGAAAATTAAGATGTTTACAGAAATATAATTTATGATCACAAAAACTAGACAATTTAAATGTTCATAGTTTGAAGAGGGGAAATGGTTACTTTAACCTCAACAGATCTACTTTATGGAACATCATGTGCTGATGAAAAACAATGTTTATTGAAAGTATCTATTAGCATCTAAGACTGTATATGAGATGCTAGATCAAAAAAAATATCAAGATACAAAATTGGAGGTTATAACATGATTACAACTATATTAAAAAGCTCTCACACTCTATGTGCAGAACAACAGGAAGAAACAAACTAAATTAAGGAAGGCATTTTCCCACACTTCTTTCTCCTTTTCTATATGTTCCACATATTTAGAGAGTATGTACTAGTTTGTGACTTCATTTGTCCTCTCCCTCTGTTCCAACCACATGCCTTTTTTGCTATTTCATGAACAAACCAAGCCAGAACTTCCTCAGGAATCCTTGGTGTTCTATTAGGAATACCCTCCATCTCATCCCACAATTCATATCCCATATAATTACAATAATGCTCATGCTTTAACTCTTATGCTAGATAATAAAGATTTTATAGTAAAGACATAAAAGAAGTCATAATGAATCCACCTGTTTTCTTTTTCTTCAATGTCAGATGTGCTGGCTAGTCGTCTTGGTATTGTAGGTGCAACATATGCAAGCCTTGTTCCTTTACTATCTTTCTCCTATACAATGGGGAAAAAAAACATAAGTGAAAATAAATCTGATAATTACAGGTGCTGCCAAGGGTATTTATTAAAAAAGATTATTCAATAATGTATAATTACACAGCCATCAGTTTACTTTATAGTATTTCCATTGTTCCTAGACAAACTCTAAAATTGATGTCTATCAATAATCAAGTACTGTAAGTACTAAAGAAAGCCCATTCAAATTAATTTTCTTTTTTTCCCCCTTTATCTAGAATTAGATAACATTCTACATGAAAAAAGAAAATTCCTCCATATTTTAATGACTTTTCCCAAAACTTCTGTAACAGATTACTTAAAGTAATATAGCATCACAAGGTAAAATATCCTTATTTATTCCAGAGAAATAAGTTATCAAATATGGTTCACAAATTATCTCCCCATCACTTATAATACTTAACGTTATATAAGGTATTTATTATCTTGATATTCTATTCTTTAAAATATAACATTATAATATTCAAAATGAAATTATTTAAATTATATATATGCAAGTCTGGTTGAGAGTGTTTTGACAATGGCATCTGATACAGCCCCACTATTTTGGTATTAATATATGTTGGAAACTACTGGGCAATACATTTATACAAAATAAAAATATTAAAACTACTTAATGAAAGAAATTCCATTTCTGATACAAGGAAACACTCCTATAGAGGGGGAAAAAAGTCAAAGCACTAAAAATGCAGTAGAAAATAAATAACTGTACAAAATAACATTGAATGAACTGTGGTACATTCTTTGTGATACAATGTAATACTGCCTTTCAAAATATAGTTATTAAAACTACTCATTAAGACAAAGTTGCTTGTGATGTACCAGATGGAAAAGCAGATACCAGATAAATGCAACTGATGAGTATACTCACATTCTAGAATAAATGTGTTCCTAAACTTTGGAAAACCTACCAAATAAATAAATAAATAAATAAATAAATAAATAAGTAAAATAAACTTGCTCCTTGATATATTTTATTGTAAATTCTCAAGTAAGATAAAGGGTTCCTTCAATTAGTACAGTCTAATCATATCTAATGAACCCATATAGATATTTGTTTAAGGTAGGTACATTTGTATTAATATTTAATTAAGCCAGGTGAATTAAGTTGATATTCAGATCGAATGATACATGGTAGGAAATCCAAGAGAGCTGATATTTCTAAAAAACGTATCATTAGTGTTTTTATAGAAACCAGATCATGAAATAGATTACCTTTTCTTTATTATCCAAAGAGGAGGAAAGCCTGGGACTTGAAGCTGAACGCATAACACCTGCAGTGTCTTTTTCTTTCTGAGCCTCTTTAGACGCTGTGATTTCTGCAAGTGCACCATAACTGCCAGTCTTTCGAAGTCCTAACCTCCAAGATGCAGGAGACTCGTCTTTTCTCTCTTCTTCTTTGGAAGAAATTTTTGTAGCTGAAGTTGGAAACTGTTTTTATTTTGTTTTTAAAGAAAAAAAAAAAGATTATCAACACATCAGTTCTTAAGCTGGAAATGATAAGTTTAAGAAAAAAAAATGTTTAAAATTACAGTTAATAGTTTCAGGAGAAACACTTTTACTAATTAGGTTAATGTCTTAGTCAAAAGTGTAAAGATCTAAAACTGAAAAAGGAATGAACTACCTTTCCAGAAGTTAGATTTAAGAAAACACACTCCACACTTTATACCACACAGAAAAATTATGCTGCAAATACAAAGAAATGAGCACACCAATAAGGACTTAAAACCATGCATCTTTGGAACCAATATTCATATTAAACTTGTTATGCTATAACCTAATATAAATCCTTGCACATAGAAATGCCTCACCATAGATTTTTCACCCTTACTGGGCACAAGAACAATGCCAGTTTTGCGCAAGCCCTGCCTCCATGATGCGGGATTTACTGATTCCACCACAGGCATGATAGGAGCAATGAAATCATACTAAAGCCAATTAAAATAAGACAGGTAAAGAGATAAAGATTGAAAACAGGAAAACAGAAAATGAAGTTATGAACAAAATACACTTTTTTCTTTTATAAAATAATTTTATAATAAATTTAAAACCCAATAACTGGGCAATAATCCAATCTTTAAAGATCACTGGAAATAAGTTCCACTTGCAGCATGAAAAAATATGAAAGAATATAACAGAGAAACTTCTAAAGCAGTTAAAGGCATATAGAACAGATAACATTATAGAATATAAGTGAACAAACTGCTGCACTTGACTTCTGTTTTTATCCACCTATATATTTGGGCTACAAAAATTTAAATCTAGAATAATCAATAAAAAGGTAATAAGTGGCATATTTTCTAGTTATATTTTTTCAGTAATATTTTTAATATCATAACCTTATTTTATTTTTCCACTAAACATTAAACATTTTAACTAAAAACATTTTGGGGGGGGACGGGGACAAATATTTATTTCATTTCCAGGGCTTTCCTTGCAACAGCCCTAAAAATGAAATATTTGTTATCTATAACTAGTTCACATCATCAACTTCACTTACATAATTCAAATGTTCAATCACAGTGAAATATAGATTAGTGAATATAGTAACTAACTAGTTGCTACAAGTATACAATATGGATATTTAAAAAAAACAAAACCCTTTCTTTCATATTTATTGCTAAAGTTTGCTATAATTAGCAGTTTAACAGAGCTTGTTAAAGCTCCCATGATGTCTCAGGGCCACTTCATAGACAAACCTGTTATGAGATACCTCTGGTACTGTTAATTCATATAGATAGGGTTGAAAATAGACACATGACACACAACATTCCACAATGTGTGCACTGAGGCATTCTAGGGTGCCAAAACAAAATCAGAGGGGTGCTCTGAAAGCACAGTAACATCTGTTGGATACAGGACAAACTGTCATTATTAACTTATTTGCCTTAAGTACTTAGTAAATTTGGTCAAATGACACTGTGAAAAAATAAATTAGTAAAACCCTGGGAGCTCCATCAATTGAAAAAGCTCAGGAACCTCTGTAGTATTTGATGCTACATGACAGGCACTGATGTGACTGGTTACTGATTTCTGAGATTCAAGTCAGAGTACTCTAGAAGAAGGTGGCAAACTCTTTTCTGGAAAGGGCCAAATTATAAGTTTTAGGCTTTGAGACCACAGTCTCTGTTGTAGCACAAATGCAGCTATAGGTGATACATAAGTGTGGCTGTGTTCCAACAAAACTTTATGCAGAAACAATGAAATCTGAATTTACGTCACAAAATATTCTTCTTTTGATTTCTTCCCCCACAACCATTAAAAAATTTAAAAACCGTTCTAACTTGTAGTCTATACAAAAACATTAGTGAACTTTGCCTCATAGACCATGGTTACCAATCCCTGCCCTATAATCTCCCCCATATAGAAACAAATGTTATTTCTTCATGATAAAATGGTCAGAGAGCAGATAACATTTACTGAATGTTGTAATAGAAACTGACATTTAACAAATATTTATTGATGTCAGGCCCTAAGCTAAATGCTTCACATGACTTATCTCATTTAATTCTTACAACCACCCAACTACTATTACTAGTTGAGAAAAACGAGGCAGTATTATCTATTTGGAAATAAACATTTGTTGCACTGCAGTGACTGATATACTTCCATTCTGCCTAACAGAACTTGCATTTAAGTTCCGGTGTATGTATTCAAAAGCACCTTTCAATTTTATTTTATGTATAAGTGAACGTCTCTGAAATACTCAGCTATATCCACTCCCTGAAATTCTTATTTTGGCTTTTATAATAGGACACGGACACTATTTTGACTTTCCTACTCTTCTGATCTTCCTCCTTTTCTGGTCTTTTTGTTTTCTCGTAATCAGCAAGCTTCTTTATCATAGCCCTGCAAAATAAGTACTCTAAGAGTCCGTTCTCAGATCTCCCCATCTTCTTTCCAGTTTCCTCTCCTTGGAGAGGGAGTAGTGTATTTTCTACTTCCTCAAGCTAAATATTAATTGCATTCAGCTTACTCTCCAATTTGTTACTTTGTAGTTCAGTCATTATTGACCATTCCTAAATTTCTCTTTATCTTTAGAAAAAACAACTTAATAGTTATAGTTCATATATTTAACCATTTAGTTTGATGCTCTGTATTACCTGAATGACCCTTAAATCATTGTGATTTTAATCAATGGTTTGTTCTTTGAATGGTTGCTAATATTGTAGATAATCTTATTGAGGATTATACAAACATAAAGTATGGTATCAAACTTCAGGTTTAAACTGAAGCATTATAAGCATTCATTTCACAACTAGATCATATGAGGATATTGGCTGTGATGAGACTCACTGCGTTTTTAGTAGTGAAATTTATTAAATCCCCATTCCATTCAACAGGGAAGGAGGGAGGGAGGGAGAGAGAGAGAGAGAGATACCAATGTGAGAGAGACACATCGATTGGTTGCCTCCCGCACAACCTGATCAGGGCTGGGGATCGAACCTACAACCCAGGTATGTGCTCTTGACCAGGAATCAAAATGGAGACACTCAGTCCATGGGCCAAAGCTCTAACCAGCCAAGACAACATTTGTACACTTCTACTGGCATACCTCATATACCTACAGCACATAGTAGTCTTTTACTAAATTATGCTTAATAATTAGATTCAATTAACTAAAACATTTAATACCAAGAAAATTCTAATTTTTACCACTCAGTAAAGAAAAAATAGTTTACACTTACTGAAAACTATGTGCATACAACAGAGTAGGTAATCTTTTTCAGAAATCCCTACAATATTTATTTTGACTATAGAGCTATGTAAATTTGTTGTTAAACTTTTAAATCATAAAATCAAACTAATGGTTTTGTAACTAACATTTCCACAAATCATAGGCCTGATCTCATTGCTAATGAAATAATTATTTATTTTTAGCTGAAGAAGTTGAGACTTTAAGGGAAGATCATCTAAAGTAAATACATCCTGCCCTGGCTGGTCTGGCTCAGCGGTTATAGTGTCGGCCTGTGGTCCAGAGAGGCCCAGGTTCAGTTCCCGCTTAGGGGCATGTGCCTCGGTTGCGGTTTGTCCCCGGCCCTGGCTGGGTCGTGCAGGTGGCAACCACTCGATGTGTCTCTTTCATGTCGATGTTCCTCTCTCTCTCTTCCTCTCTCTCCCTCCCACTCTATCTGAACAAAAAAACTGAAAAAATGTCCTCGGGTGATAAAAAATAAATAAATAAAATAATTAGGTAAATAAATAAAGTAAATACATCCATGTTTCTCAGTAGTTACTCCTACTTATTATAGAATATAAATTATATTTAATACTCTTTTAGAGCTTCCTGGTTTGTGATCTATTCCTTGCCTTAAGTGCTGCATGAGGGCTCCTTTATCATTTATGGACTGATGGAAGAAACTAGAGAACTTAAGATAACTTTGTCTAAATATTAGAAACAGAGTACTGATTGGGAATCTAAAAATAGAACTCTTGATTGCAAAATGTTTAAAGATGCATTTACAAATTAACTACTAATGTAGAAAAAATTGTATCTCTTAGGTCTCTAAATTACAGAAAAATCTTGAAACAAACTAAGAAAACTATAATGTTAAATCGAAGTACATAAAGTAGTATTGAACACAGTATGAGGCTTTAAAAAATCATACAATAATGATAAAAAGATTGTTCCATCCATTAAAATAACACTTAAATTTTTTTTGGGTACACTATGAATGTATTGCTTTGAATAAAATTTGGTTATAAAGCCTTAAAAAACAAAGACTAAAAACAATATAATTTTCAAATTAGGTTATGATGCTTGAAATTGAGAATTGGCATTTCTAAATATGCAAGTTATAGAATCAAATAGTTATCATTAGATAAATTTAACTACAAAATCAGAAATAATTCTAAATAAGAATTTTATATGCAAACAGGTTAAGAGCTTACCAATCTAACCGAGTTATTAAGTGTTTGCTTTCAATTAGGGTAGTAGGCATAAATCAAGAAGTAAATTGCCATAAATCTGGGGCTATGCTTGAGAAAAACATAATTGATCACAAGAAGTCTATTGTAATTATTTGACTGTGGTAATAAAGACATGGCTTAGCTAAATACTCAAAAGAATGACAGCCAGTTTATTGGCCAACTATTCCAAGGAGATGGAGCTTTTGGTAACTTTTGGTAATTTATGTTGCAACAGATAATAAACCAAAAGAGCTATACTTTAGTATTCATTGAAGAAGTATACAGAGGTTCTAGGATTAAGTAAAACTTTAGTTAAAGTAGCTTGTAGTGACACCAGTTATGTATGGTATGATAACCATCTTAAAAATTCTGCATACAGGCTACTTCTGGAGAATTCCATTTTAAAACACATATAATCATATGAACATGGGATCTAGCTGAATTCAAGAAGCCCTCAGTTCTAGACTATGGAAGGTTGAGACTACTACTCATTCATATAGTTTCCTGATACTCAAACTGTACCAGTGAAATCCATACATTTCTACCCCTAAGAATTCACATCATTGATTTCTTTAGGAAAAGTTTTAGAAGAGGATTATTACTAATAGTATAGATTTTTAAAAAATTCTCTACTTTATGATTTAAAAGATTCACATTTTGACCATTTGGAGCCAAGTCCAAAGATTAGCAAGACTGACAATGTGATAAAAACACTATAGGGATTTAACACCAGTCCTCAAACCTATGCAAATCAAGTAATATCAGACAAGCAACAAAATAAGAAATCCAAAGGCAGAGATATGACAGTTACATAAAATGTACAATCCCCAAGTACCTTTGATTTGAAAGAGCAAACAGAAAGACATTACTAAACTAAGAGGGAGATTGGGAAAATCTTGAGTATAGTCTGTACATTAGTGAACATAAATAATATATCAAAATTAAATGTCCCAAGTATAATAATTTTAATGTGAGGATGAATGATAATGACTTTGTGCCTATGAGATATATACTCAAGTATTTAGAGGCCAAGTGTTATAGATTGAAACCAATTCTTTTCTTTTTTATCCTCACCAGAGGACAACTTTCCATTTTTTATTCAGATATAGTGGGAGGGAGAGAGAGGAAGAGAGAGAGAGAAACATCGACATGAAAGGGACACAATGAGTGGCTGGCACCCGCACGACCCAACCAGGGCTGGGGACAAACTGCAACAGAGGTACGTGCCCTTAGTGGGAACTGAACCCAGGTCTCTCTGGACCGCAGGCCAATGCTCTAATCGCTGAGCCAAACTGGCCAGGGCGAAACCAATTCTTAAATGCTTCTGCAAAACAAAGGAAAAAAGTGTGTGCGTAAATTCATGCACGCGTGTGTGTTTGTGTGTGTATACATACAGAAAGGGACATGAGCATGCACCTCAAATATAAGTAAGGCTGCCCGGCCAGTGTGGCTCAGTGGATTGAGCATTGTCCCATGCACTGGGAGGTCCCAGTTCGATTCTTGGTCAGGGCACTTGCCCCGGTTTTGGGCTCCATCCCCAGTAGGGGTATGCAGGAGGCAGCTGATCAATGTTTCCATCTCTCTCTCCCTTCCTGTCTCTGTAAAAAAATCAATAAAAAACATTTTTAAATAAAGATAAGGGCTGATAGAAAAGAAGCCTTTAAAAAGAGATAAGTAGGTAAAAACAACAACATAGAGCTCTTAATATTTACTTTGGATTTAAAGAAGTATAGGTTCTGGAGTAGCAGGGAAAAATAAAGCCTTTAAAAAGATTAATACACTAGCTAAAAAGCACTGTTTGGTGGAGAAAAGGAAGCAAGAAGGACAGAGAACAAATGGAGAACAGATAAAGAAGAGGAAGAAGAAATGAAACTAACATTTTAGGAGCTTTAGTCACCAGCTAGGCTCTTTCAACCACAGCTTACAATGTTAATTTACATTCTTTGTATATTGTTTTTTCTTCTTTCTCTTCTTCTTCTTTTTGACAGATAAAGAAGACAGTAACTCACTTAACACATAAACTTACAACAGGTGGGGTCAGGAGCTAATCTCTGGTTTGTCATCAAAGATCATGCTCTTAATGATATGCCATATTTGCATGCTTGGTGCTTTGTATTGAGTTAGAAAATCTAGATCGTAGTTTTCTCATTGACTAGTGGTAGTACTTTTTGTGCTTAACTTAATGCTCATGTGAAATGACCAAAATGCACCTTTACTTAATAGAGATAAAAAAAATAAAACAAATCTGTGTTTCTCAAAGTTTCAACTGAAACCTTGTAAATATTTTTGGAAATAACTATAAAAACGTAAAACTGTCATAATGCTTTAGTCCAAATAGTACTTACAGAGAAGATATATAATTTTAGCACACAATTTTGGCTTACCTTTTTTACAGGTGATGTAGGTGTTGCCTGACCAGATGAAACAGTAGGTGTTGTAACAGCTACAGGAGCTGCTTGTGTACTAGAAGTACTGGCATTAGTTACAGAAGCCATGGGTTTTGTCTTATCTATTAAAAAAAGACAGAACATTAAGAGTCAAGATTCTATATCAACTTGGTTTCAATGGCTGGTAAAATACAATTTATATTCTGTTTTTGTTTAAGGTCTTGTTAATTCAAAGTCTTCTCCCACTGTTATTATTCCTTTTAACAAGTACATTTTTTAAGGAGTTTCTAGAAATGCATCAGTATGTAAGCCAAAGTAAATAAAATAATATGAAGAAACACAACAAAGCTTCAAAAAAATAGAGCATAAATAGAATCTGACTTGTACTTTTAACACTTTGGAAATTTAAAAAACCTTTTAAATATTTAAAACTTGAATGCATAAATACAATGTACCTAAAATAGAAATTATAAGAGCCAAGCAATTTTCTAATGGATAAACAACTTATATATCTAAAATTGATGGTTCCTCTTTACTCCAGAAAATCTAAAAGTGCTTCTTGTCAATAATCAGCTTAGATTCCTGACAAAAAGCATGCTTCAATGTCACAAACAGCATGCCTTTTCACCCCTAGAAAGTCTATAGTTAATTAGGCATAATATCTGGTTAAATTTCTTTTCACAGTATATCAAAACAATTTCTAACTAATAATGAGTCACTTAAAAATGATTTCTGAAAATATTAGAAAAATAAATCTGATGCTAGAAAAAACTCAGACTGTGTTTGAACATATGTGTCAGACTGGCTTTTACCAAAATGGTCACATATACTTTAAATCTTTAAATTAACTATAATTTATAAATGAACTAGAAAAGTTTACTTTCCAAATGGTCAAAGGTCATTTTATCTAGTTTTAAAGTATTCCTCTGGTTTCAAAATGGGGTAGGACAAGTATCTGTTTATATTCTGGGGAAGAGAAATAGTGCTTTATAGCCCTATGAGAAACCCTTTTTCATTCATTATACTACCTTTCTCCCTCCTTTAGGTCATAGTTTTCCGAAGAAATCTTCCATTTTATCATTATTGTATACTGTTACATCTCCTAAGTAGACAATATTTAAAAAGTCTTATCTCAGGGCAAATATAGACATCCCACCAACAATTTGAATTTGCAATGATTCATTCACTTCTATTTGTGACTACACAAACATCCACAAGATGAAAATAAGGTGAAAAGCATATCTCAAACTACACCAAAGGACAAGGCCAAACTGTCACTAAAACCTTAGGTTTTCAAATAAACTGAATCAGCTAGACTCAGTCTAATACAATTTATTTTTATTGTTAAGTAATATCTCTTTTCCTTCAACCGAAGCTAAGCCAATTAGCACAGAATACAAATCATGTATAACCTAATTAGACCACCTTCCTGCAAAACAATCTACTTAAATGGAGAGAGTAATTCAACAAATATTTATCTGTCGTCTCCATACTTCAAGTACTGTCCTAGATACTGGGAATGTATCAGTCAATGAAAAGACAAACTTTCTTAACTGCACAGATCTTAAAGTCTAGAAGAAATAAATAATAAAGGTAAAATTAAACAACTTTTTATTTTCTTGTTTCCTTTTCTCCCTATTTTCTCTAGGCTTAAAATTTGGTTTCATATCTGTAAAATCTACACACCAAAGGATGTATATGCATGTATGTAAACATTTATGTTTGGTTTAAGAATAATAATGAAACAAACCCCAGGTGTCCATTATTCAACTTAAGTAAACATTATTAATATAGCTAAAGCCATTCTATCCATTTGATTTCAGTGAAGAATGAAAAAAACAAAAAATCCTAAATGTAAAAATATGCCTCCCTTTTCTCATTCCCTCATCTATCTCTCAAGTTTATAAATTATTTGAGAAATTAAAATTTTGGTTAAATTCCTATTTTCATCTGCTTTATGCAAAGAACACCAATTTAAAAACTGGTTTGGTATTTTATGAGAGAAAATTAAGCAAAATACTTATGTCAAAGAGTTTCCCAAGGAAATAACCATATAAAAAGTAGAAAGAACAGTTTAGAAATAGTCAAATCAAGCTGTAGCTCTACAGGGAAATGGATGCTTTCTTAAGCTTGCCAAATAAAGTATGATAAGGCCTTGTTGATACTGAAAGAATGAGAGAGAAGGAACCACACAGCATTTACATGGATTAATTCTTGAGACTGAGTCAAATTTTCCTGGCACAATTGACTATTAGCAACAGGAAGAACAAAATTATCATAGTACAATGCTTCAGAGGAACATTTAAAGTTAGCTCAGTGAGAAACTAAGCAGAGTGTGACCTGTATGCTTAAGTCCCACACAAGGAACTAATACAATACAATTTGATTGTAATTAGCTCTATTTATACTTATAGAATAGTATAAAGAACTATCCAGATCATCTAGTCCAATTTTTCTCATTTTTTAATTTAACTTATCTTTATTGTTGAATGTATTACAGATGTCCCCCACTGACCTGCTCCTCCCCAATACCACACCCCTCCTGCCTTCCTCACACTTGTCTGTGTTCATCGGTTATGCATATATGCATAGAAGTTATTTGGTTTATCTCATCCCGCCCACACTCCCCCCTTCCCTTTGAGGTTCATCAGTCTAACAAACAATTTGTACTTCTTAATTCCTTCATCTTTTTCACCCGTCCCCCAAGCTCCCTCCCATTTGTCAAGCAACAAAAAGTTTTCTGTGTCTATGAGTCCCTTTCTGTTCTGCTTGCTCATTTTGTTTGTAGATTCAACTGTTGATAGATATGTATTTATTGCCATTTTATTGTTCATATTTTTGTTGTTGTTCTCCTTCAAGAAGGTCCTTCAATATTTCATATACGTAATACTGGTTTGGTGGTGATGAACTCCTGTAGCTTTTTCTTGTCTGGGAAATTCTTTATATGGCCATCTATTCTAAATGATAGCTTTGCAGGATAGAGTGATCTTGGTTGTAAGGTCATTGCTTTTCATCACTTTGAATATCTCTTACAATTCCTTTGTGGCCTGCAAAGATTCTAACAGGGTTTTCTTTTTTCTTTCTTTTCTTTATTGATTTTTAGAGAGAGGGAGGAAGGAGAGGTAAAGAGAGAGAGAGATAGAGATAGAAACATTGATGAGAGACATCGATTGGCTGCCTCCTGCATGCCCCCAACTGGGAATTCAAAGAATATACTTCATTTTATTTTATTTATTTTTCTTTATTTTTAGAGAGAGAGGAAGGGAGAGGGAAAAAAACATTGATGAGAGAGAACATAGACTGGCTGCCTCCTGCATGCCCCCCACTGGGGGTTTGGCCCACAACCTGGGCATGTACCTTGACTAGGAATTGAACTGGGGACCTCTTGGTGCATGGGTCAATGTTCAACCACTGAGCCACACCAGTCGGGCTCAGCTGACAGTCTTATGGGAGCTCCTTTGTAGGTAACAAACTGCTTTTAAGATTCTCTCTTTGTCTTTAATCTTTTGCATTTTGATGATAGTGTGGACCTCTTTGGGTTCATCTTATTTGAGACTCTCTGTACTTCCTGGACTTGAATGTTTGTTTTCTTCACCAAGTTAGGGAAGTTTTCTGTCATTATTTTTTCAAATAGGTTTTCAATTTCTTGAGCTCTCTCTTCTTCTGGAACCTCCATGACGTGAATATCAGTATGCTTGAAGTTGTCTCAGGGGCTCCTTATACTATCCTCATTTTTTTGGATTTTTTCTTTTTCATGTTCTGATTTGTTTTTTGCTTCCTTATATTCCAAATCAATGGTTTGCCTCTTGGATTTACCTACTCTAGTATTGATTCCCTGTAAAGTATTCTTTATTTCAGTTAGTGCATCCTTCATTTCTGACTGGTTCCTTTTTATGTTGTTGATGTTCTCAGGAAGTTCCTTGGAGTTCTTCTTAAGTTCCTGGAAGTTCTCACTAGGTTCCATGAAGATTTCACTAAGTTCCTTTAGCATTCTTATAACTAGTGTTTTAACCTCTGCATTTGATTGATTGCTTATCTCTATTCTGTTTAGTTGTTTTCATGGAATTTTGTTCTGTTCTTTCATTTGGGACATATTTCTTTGTTTCCTCATTTTGGCTGCTTCCCTATGTTTGTTTCTATGTATTAGGTAGAGTTGTTATGTCTCCTAGGCTTTGTAGGGTGGCCTATAGTTGTAGGTGTCCTGTAGGGCCCAGTGGTCACTCCACCTGGGCCCTCAAGGTGCACCTCTAGTGTGGACTATACACCCTTCTGTTGTCATTGAGTCTTGATTACTGTTGGCACGTCAATGGGAGGGATTTATTCAGGCTGATTAGCTGTAAGGACTGGCTGTGTGTACTGACCACTGGCCTCTGACTCCCTTGGAGGATCAGCTGTGTAGGGGCCCAAAACACAGAGCAAGACTTACTTTAGCAGGGCTCTGGTACACACGGAGTCTACTCACTGAGTGTGTCACTTGTGGAGGTGGTTGGGTGGTGGTGCTTTGATGAGGTCTGAAGCTGTCCACTGGGTGTGCTGGCTCTGGGGCAAGGTCAGCCACTGCCTGTGTTCTACCCGGGGCCAACTGGCATAAGCTACAAAGTGATCTGCAGACGGCTGCTTCTTGTGCTGAGCTTGGAGGTGCCCAGGAAAAGCCAAGTTGTGAACCAAGGCTGGTTGCTTCTAGTGCCAGGCCTGAGAAACTTAATGAGGGATGTGGGGCTCCCTGAGACCAGATGCTGCTTGTCTGAGAGATTTTAGAAAACTCTGAAGCAGGATCCAAGATAGGTCAATCCTATGGTAAAGTCATTGGAAACAGCTTGGATGGGCCAAAAAGTTGGGTGGGCCAAAAGTTGGGTGGGGCAGGGCCTCAGGGAATTACCAGGCAGGGCAAAGAGTGTGAGCCAGGTTAGTGGAGTCCCAGATATGGTGGTTGACAGTCTGCTGCCCCAAGGAAGGGCTCATCAAAGAAACAATGGCCTCCCATAAATCTGTCCAGGAGAAAGCTCCCCCTTCAGCTCTTGCTCCAATGCCAAACAACTCGGTTCTTCCCCATATGTCTCTGGTGCCTTTCAAGCTGCCTCCCCAACACTGGAGCCCAGAAGGAGTGAGTCCAAGTAAGTCTGTGTGTGGGCTCTTTAAGAGGAGCTGCCTGGGGCTCCAGAAGCCTCAGCCTCCCTCAGCCTCAGTTCCCACTGGTTTTTACAGTCAGAAGTTATGTGGACTTCTCTTCCTGGCACTGGAACCCTACGCTGGGAGCCTGGTGTGAGACGAGGACCCCTTGCTCCCCAGGGAGGACCTTCATAGCCAAGGTGTCCTCTTGATTTTTATCTGCCACAGGTGGGTGTGGGATCAGCCCATCCATGCCTCTGCCCCTCATACTAGTCTCGATGTGGTTTCTTATTTTTGTAGTTGTAGGACTTCCATTCACTTCGATATTTTGTTTGTTTTAAATAGCTCCCCAGTGCCTACCACTGAACAATAAATTATATAGAAGGGGCCAATTTAAAAAAATTAGATGACAAAAATCTCTGTGAATGCCTCGACCTTCCAGTTCTTTAATTCTACTACATAAGTAGTAAAGGACTTAACACATGAGTTAGAGAATCTGGGTGCCAGTCCTGGCTTTCTTGTGCACATGTGCATATAGTTTAATTTGTAATTATATATTTTATTATAGATTGGGGGCCGAGTCACGTCACACATGAAAGAGATTAACTACATTAAAATAACTTTAAGTACTTATAAAAGTACATTAAGACAATTTAAATTTCAATGATATAATTTCATCTTGAACATGGGAAACAGCACAAATTTAACTATTTGATCATATTTAAATCAGTAGTGTAGAATTTTATATACTTATTATATGAAAGACAATACAACAGATTGCTATATAGTACCCATATAAAGCGGGTATTATTATCATGATTTTATGGAGAAATTTGAGGTTAAATAAATTACCTACAATTACATGCATGAATCAGTCTGTGTTCTTAAACACTGTGCATGCTGATTCTCATATAATTTGCATTTAAAATTAGAAATATTTTGATTAGCACATTATAGAACTAAATTATAATATTTAATGACTATCTGTTGCTTTAGCTTTCATCTTTGCCCATATTACTGTCTCACCAAGGTAAAAGATATGACTCACCTGACCAGCAATGTGACAGCAAAATATTAAAGCCCTAACTAAAATTTAGCTATATATATATATGTATATATGTGTGTGTGTATACACACACACACACACACACAAACATATATATAAACTCTGTGTATTACCAAAAGCTAATGTACTTGTATGATTAACAATGTTTCTTCAAACAAACAAACAAACAAACAAATAAATACATAAAGGAATCCAAAACATATCACCTGGCAGTAAAGCTAGCCTGTATCTGTTTAGTAACATCTTGCTTTTAATGGGAAACTTATGTTCCTCAACATGTGTTCATTTGGTAAACTTTAGCGTCTCACATATTTTTATATAAAATATTTTGCTGAATAAAAATAAAATGACTCAAAACTGTTACTGTTGTTTCTAGAGGACATATAGATAGTCCAAGGAATTCTAGGGCTCCATTTTGTGTTTACCAATGACCACCAAACTGGTTTTGATAGCGATGACAGGTTTTTTCATTGAACAAAAATCTTATTAGAAATGGTGAATTTTTTTCTGAGAAAGTTATGTTAAAACAATTGATTATGCAATTCAGAAATGGCAATACTGGAATCTCATGCTGTTCAGAAGTTTTGAGTGATTAACTAATATAGAATAAGAAAATAAATGTTAATAAAAGCAATTTGGGCCGGGCCGTTGTGGCTCAGTGGATTGAGTGTCATCCCATGGACTGAGAGGTCCTCGTTCTATTTATCGGGGCACATGCCCAGGTTGCAGGCTCGATTCCCAGTGGGGGTTGTTCAGGAGGCAGCTGATCAATGTATCTCTCTCACAATGATGTTTCTACTCCCTCTCCTCTCCTTTCTCTCTAAAAAAATCAATAAAACATATTAGGAGAAAATAAATAAGTAAATAAAAGCAATTTGGTAAAATCTATAAAAACGTGGATGAGAGGAAATAATGCAGAAACAATGTTCTTGATAATATAAAGGAAAATAATGTAAATTGTTATGGCACTGTTGGTAAAGCAATTTGGTAGCATTTATAAAAACTGAAATTGTGATGACTACATGGTAATGGAAGATGGCGACAGAAGACTATCTGACTTAGGGTAGTGTGCACACAGTGCAATATACAGTGCTTGCAACAATGAAATATACACTTGAAACCTACATGATCCTATATAAATTTAAATTAAATTAACAAAATAAAATAAAAAGGAAACGTGACTAATAAGTCAATTTTAAAGTATATTAGAAAATCTCTTGAACTTTTACACAAGGATGCAATTACACAAAGAATCACTGCAGCATTATTTGCAACAACTGGGAATAAAGTAAATATTTATCAAAAGGGAAATGGATGTACTAATGAATATTATACAGACAACTAAAGAGGTAAGTTATGTAAAGACGAGATACAAACAAATCTAAAAAATACAACTTTTGAGCAGAAAAAAGCAAGTTGTCTAACAATTTCTAGGGTATAAAAATAAAAACAAAACCTTATAATTACTATGTATTATTTCTGAATGTACATGTAAGATAAAAATATAAAAATAGACTAGAAGATTACAGAAAAAACTCATGCTGGTGATTGACTTAGGAAAGAAAGGAAAGGGAAGTAGACTAGGGTATAAAGAAGACAACTGTAGCCCTGGCCGGTTTGGCTCAGCGGTTAGAGTTTTGGCCTGTGGACTGTAGAGTCCCGGGTTCGGTTCCTGCTAAGGGCACGTACCTCGGTTGCAGTTTGTCCCGGCCTGGGGTTGTATGGGTGGTAACCACTCGATATGTCTCTCTCGCATCGATGTTTCTCTCTCTCTTCCCCCCTTTCTCCCTCCTGCTCTGTCTGAGGATAAATGCAGAAATGTCCTTGGGTAAGGATAAATAAAAAAAAGAAGACAACTGTAGCCCTAGCTGGTTTGGCTCAGTGGTTAGAGCGTCGGCCCACAGACCAATGAGTCATGGGTTCGATTCTGGTCAAGGGCACGTACCTCAGTTGCGGTTCGTCCTCGGCCCTGGGCGGGTTATGTGGGAGGCAACCAGTCAGTTGATGTGGCTCTAACACATCAATGTTTCTCTCTCTCTTTCTTTCTCCCTCCCTCCTTCCATTCTATCTGATGATAAATAGAAAAATATTCTCGGGTGAGGAATAAAAAATAATAAAAAAGAAGACAATTGTAATGTTTTAATTTCATTAAAAGAAAATTTTAAAGTAAATATAGCTAAATGTTAACAGCTATTAAGTCTTGTAGTTAGAATACGAAAGTTTATTATACTTTTCTGTATCTTTAAAATATCTCAAAGTAAATTCCTCTACACCCTCACAAGAAAGTACCTTGATTCATACCCAATTTTCTAAAATTTTACTATTTCTTAGGTAATATTTGGGATGCTGCTGGGACCTGCTTCTGGACTTCAGGGCCTCAGAAAACAGCATGAACATTCTTGAATTGCTGTTGCAAGACCTTATCTACATTAACACCTTATCTACACCATCCTAAGGGAGACTTAGAAGTCTCTTCACCTTCAAACCTAAAAAGGTTGGAAAGAGACAGAGGTGAACAAGAGCCTCCAAGTCATTGGAAAACAAAAAAAATCACATCTGTATTCCCTGAAAGGTAAATTACTGGTCTGGTAGGTATCCAAACAAGTAGCCAATCAGTCTGAAAAGTTTCAAAATTAAAGCCTGATCTCATCTTAAGTAACACTGAATCAAAAATCATTGAACATTCTTTTATCCTTCAAATTTTACCTGTTTCAGCTTCTGATTCTGAGTCATCTTCCTCATCTTCTTCACTAGAGCAGCTAGATTCATCTTTCTTTCCTTCTTCTTCATCATCAACCTTTTCTTGTTCCAGAGATTCAATACGAGATGCATTTTTCTCTGGCTCAATAATCAGTGTCTCTTTGCTGTGAAAGGAAAATAGCTTTCAGATGATGCCTGTGGCCATCATGTCAACTCATTCATAACAATAACAAAACCTACTTTAATATTTTACTTACTTTTTAAAGGTCTTCTGTGACTGATTATTGTCCATATTGGCCGTTGATTCAATTAGTGGAGATTTCTTCTCCCGTTTTTCACTGTGGAGCTTTATAAAAGTTATGCAAAGGAAAATAAGAGTACTATTAAAATAATATTAATTAGTAAAAAACAAAATTTAAAATAAAGCAAAGTTGTTTCCCAAAGACTAAACAAAAACAAAATTAAGCAAAGAAAATATTTAAGTTATACCTAAAAGAAAAGGGTTTGGATAAACAATAAAAAAGATTAGATAGTTAAAAAATTCCATGAAGGAGTATTGAATTCTTTTAGATCCTTTTCACTAAAAAGTTTGGGTCCAATCACCACTTAGACGTCTGGTAATATTTTACTTAAAAATTTGTTTCCTAGTTACATCACCCCCTTGCTTTATCCAGGGTCTGCTACGAGAAATCTGAGAGTTTATAACCTCTACTTTCTAAGCAAACTTTATGAAATTAGAACAACATGTTATTCTTCTGGACATACACCTTACAGAAGTATTCATTTTGTGAAGGGGAGTTTAGAAAAATGGGATAAGCAACATGCAGGCAAAACACTATGACTCCTTTATTCTCTTTCACTGGCATTTTAGTTTGATGGCCAAAAAGTATAAAACAGCACAAGAATATTTTCTTTACCTGTCTGAAATTCAAAGCTATAAAGAGAATTCACTAATGTAGACTATTTTTACAGTCATCAAACATACCAGATTTTGTTTCTTTTGCAACTCTTCTAAATATCCTAAAATGTCTTCATCTGCTACATCAAAGGCTGTCTGGCCCTAGATAGGAAACAAGGGGGGTGGTAATGGTAAAAAGTCAATAAATTATAAAATGTCTTTGGTGATTCTATATGATTATATAGAAGAAGTTAGATACCTATTCTATGATTAACAAAATAAAAACATATTATATATGACTCAAAGGAGATATATGCGAAATCCATGTGTGAGAGAAGTAGCTCATACACTTCCCCTGGTTTTTTTTTTTTTTATAACACCTTTATTGAGATATAATTCACATATCATACAAATCACCCACTTAAAGTATACAATGAAATGCTTTTTTAGTATATTCAGATTTACAACTATCAACTTTAGAACATTTTGATCACCCCAAAAAGAAATGACATCCCCATTAGCAGTCACCTTCCCACTTATCGATTGACCCTAACCTGAGGCAACCACGAATCTACTTTGTTACTATGGATTTGCCTATTCTGGGAATTTCATATAAATGGAATCATGCAATAAGTGATCCTTTGTGATCGGCTTTTTTCACTTTGCATAATATTTTCAAGGTTCATCCATGTTGTAGCATGTGTCACTACTTCATGTCTTTTTTTTTTTTAATCCTCACCTGAGGATATTTTTCCATTTTTTGTACAGATAGAGTGGGAGGGAGAGAGAGGAAGGGAGAGAGAGAGAGAAACATCGACGTGAAGGGACACATCGAGTGGCTGCCACCCGCACGACCAACCAGGGCCGGGGACAAACTGCAACCGAGGTACATGCCCTTAGCGGGAACCGAACCCGGGTCTCTCTGGACCGCAGGCTGACGCTCTAACCGCTGAGCCAAACTGGCCAGGGCCATGTCTTTTAATCTCTGAATGATATTCCATTGCATGACACACCACATTTGCTTTTGCTTTCTGCTACATATAATACATAATACTACTGTGAACATTTGGTTACAAGTTTTTGTTTAGGCATCTGTTTTCATTTTCTTGGGTGTATAGCTTATGAGTGGAATTACTGAGTCATGTGGTAGTTACCATATGTTTAACCTTTGGAGGCCTTATTACTTTCTGATCTCTATACAAACTAACTAAATTCTTAGAGTAATAAAATTAAAATATGTATTTCTAAACTGCTTAAAGTCCAGCCTGCCACAGGTATGGCTTAGTTTCAAAAATTAATCCAGATGAATATCTGTCAATCTATTTTTATTCAGTGTGGAAAAGAAAATTTAAGAGTTGTTGACCAAATATAGGAAGGATTTTTCCTGCTGCCTGCATTTGTCCTTATAATAACCCTAACTGGTACAAATTTCCAAAATGCCAAAAAGTTCATTATTTATAATATATTCTACCCTATATGTTAGCCATAGTACACCCTTTCTCAGAAAACATTGAACTTCTTTCAACTAGAAATCACTTTGAAAGGAAATTCAAATGTCTTTCACAACAGATGTCTCATATCCACAACAAAGCCAGATGGGTAGATAATAATGACTTTTAAAAATCACAGAAATCCTCCCATTTAAAAAAAACAAACAAAACTACAACCCTCAATTCTATTCCAATATCAGGATGTTGACATCTACTTAGTTAGGAATTACATTTCCCAACACTATAAAGTGATATATATAGATATAGATATCGATAGAGAGATATATATATATGCTACTCAATATTTCAGATAGTTTTTCCATTGTTTATTTATAAAATAAAAGTTATGATCTAGAACATATATCTTAAAAGTACATAAAATGCTTCTTTATCAAGATAGGGGAATGTATGTATTTAAAATTTACAAGATTCTGCCCTGGCCGATTTGGCTCAGCGATTAGAGCAACAGCCTGTGGACCAAAGGGTCTCAGATTTGATTCCCAGTCAAGGGCACATACCTGGGCTGCAGGTTCCATCCCCGACTGGGGTTGTGTGGGAGGCAACCAATCAATGTGTCTCTCTCACGGTGATTTTTCTCTCTCTCCCTCTCCCTCTCCCTCCCTTCCACTCTATCTAAAAATCAATGAAAAAATGACCTCAGGTGGATTAACAAAAAATGAATAAATAAAATAAAATTTACAATATTCAAAAACACTTTTATATCTGACTTCTCTTGTCAGAAAGTCTTCCCAGTAGGAAATTCAAAGGCAATCTATCCTTCGCATGTAGTCCAAAAATTTTAGCTTTAATAAACCTTTTAACCCCATTTCCAACTTGAGTGTTAAATGCTAAGAATTAAATTCCTAAAGAAAAAATGGTTTATAGACAAAATAATGGGCTCAGAATTAGAAAGTGAATTTTAGATTAGTAATACATCTTAATCCCAGTTTTGCTATTTATCATACTCTCTTTGTATGATTAGTTCTATAATGTTACAAATGCTATACTTGCTAAGCATTTATCAACCCTTTTCACAAATAAAATACTATACCTTGAACATTTAAAAAAACTATAATAAAATTTTAGCAGCAATTAAAGGCAATGCAGTTATTTTAATAACTGAGGAATTTTCCTTTATAAGAATAAGAAACAGGATCACCTTACTAACCTTTCTTTTTACTTTCTCCCTTAATAAACGAGTCTACTCCGCAAACAGCAGCTGATAGAGAATAAAAACTAGAGTAAAATGTAGGCTATAAACACAGAAAAGTTTCTAATTTCAAAAAAGCACACCAATTAACTTAACTCAATAACTTAACCACGCTCTTGAAACAATCACTATAGGATGGTTATGAAGCCTATCCAGCTGTCACTATAATAAGGCTACTATGCTTATTAATGGGGTACTAACTAAGTAGAGCATATAAAAGTCACTCAAAGCAACCATGAAATTATTGAAGAAGGTACAATGCTGAGGTATGAGAAAATAAAACTTTTATCAATCGAGAAAACTATCTTCAAAAAAGTCTGTTCAATACATATGTAAATTACTAGAGCCACCCTAGAGCCATTGTTTAGTTGCAGTTTTCTTCATACCTTCTCACTTGTTCTAATTCAATTGCTTTTGCAGGTATGATCTCTCTTTATCTTTACAACCAGTGAAATAGGCAGGACAAGCATTATTATGATTCCCATTATACATATGAGGAAACCTAGGCTCTGAGTGTATGGTATTTGGCCAAGGTCATGCAGGTAATGAAGGGAAAGTGGAAACAGAATCTATGTCTCTATTGCTCCACTGTCTTTACAGAAAATAAGAATAAGCTCTGATAGAATCAGGAAAAAGAATCCGTGTGTTCATTAATAACAACAGCAATTTTGTTATTCATTTAAATCTTTATAATGACAGCTATGAAGCTAAAAAGTTGTCTATTAATGATTGCAATACTGCATTTAGAAAAAATTCCAACTACAAAGGCACCTTATTTAATATTTTTAAAGAGCCAATATGTAGGCACATTCTAGTAAAACAATTATTTTAATTAGTTAAGAAAACAAAATAAAAATCTTTCTATTTAAAATCTGTATTACATAATTTATCATAAGTTAAAATGACAGCAAATGTGTTTAGAGTTTGCAAATAAGTTAAAGAAACAAGACTAAAATTTCTAAATACTACTATAATGTTAGCACATTTCCCCTATTTTTATGTAGAAAAACTTTCAAGCTTTTATGATATGATTTATTACATTTTCTATATTGTACATTTCCCCAAATTATGTTCTCTATTAGTAAAGAATTTATCTAAACTCTGAAAGTACCTTAACTACACTTCTTGATATCATATAAAAAATATATATAGTAAAAAACTTCAATCTACAAGTACTGAATGAAGAAAGTATCAAATGACAAGATAAATTCATATAGGCAGGCTTACACAATTAAGACTAACTTGTTTTGATTGAACATGAAGTATGACATGTTACTTTAAAATGCAGCCAATGAAAACAGACAACCTAAGTCATATAGGCAAAATTATAAAAATTAAAAGCCTCATAAAAATATCTTCCATTACTATAGAATGTACTTCTCAAAAAAAAAAAAAAAAAGGGCTTGCATTTGGGTATCAGATATATTTATGCTACAAGTCTTTAAAATCCTATGTATATTATATAGCCCCTTGTTATAAAATCTTGATATGTTAAAAGAAAAAAATTTTAAACCATATTTTTACAACTTATGAGTTAGTATCAGGAAAAATAAAACATACGAGAACTCAAAAACTAAGAAAAATGGCAGAAAAACTTAATTTGCTAAAAGGAAACAATTATTAGGGCTTTATGAAAATTACTAGACTTCTCTAATAATGTCCCTGAATCTGCAAAATTCAGATAACAACTTCATATGGTTGTTAAAGGATAGCATTGTCCTAAAACAAGTTGAAAACCAAAAAAATTCTAAGGAATTATGAAGCACAATTCTTTTAAGATCATATAAAGATGCATTAAATTGATAAAACGAGAAGATAGGTATTAAAATACAGGGTGACCCAAGGAATTGCTAATACAGTAATATAGAAACAAAAGATAAAGCAAAATGATTTTTTTAAAATGTTTTTTTATTGATTTTAGAGAGAAATGGGGAGAGGAAGAGAGAAACACCAATTGGTTGCCTCCTGTATATGCTCTGACAGAAAATCGAACCCATGATCCTTCTTTGCATGGGACGATGCTCAACCAACTGAAGCCACATTGGCCAGGGCCAAAATGGTTTCATATGTTGTTTTTTTACCTAGAGCATAATTATAAATTGTATGGCATAGGAGTTAGACAATGATAGAATACATGCAAGATAAAATAATCTTTTTCTCATACATACTATGTATTATGTGTTTCATTAGCAAAACAATATGTTTAAAGTAGGAAGTGATATAATCTTTTTGGAAAACCATTTCAAGTAATAAGCTTCTCTCTTCTGGTCTTTATCTGTTGGCTGCTATTACGGAATAAACCAATATCGACACTGCCCATGACAATGGACAAGTGGCCTGTCGGGGGCACTATTTGGGAAACAGGAATGCAGAACAGAGATCAGAAGGTAACAGGTATTGATTCACTAATTTCTTCAGAAAAATCCCAACTGCTGGTGGGAATTTCTACACAGGAGAATGTAAATTGGCAAGCTAAAATTAGCTGGTCTTTAAGTTAAAATTAAATAGTATTAACATTCATTCACCTTCTAATGCTGATTATGAAACAGAAAACTGTTATAATTTAAAAAATAGACACAGCAAATTATGAAAACTTTTAATAAAAATTTAGATAGAAGACAATTATTCATAAGCACAAACCTAAACTTACAGGTGGATCATTCCCAGTTTTTTTTTTTGAAAGTTTTTTAAATTTATTTTTTAGTTTTTTTATCTTCAAGTAGAAAGAGAGGGAAAGACAGGGGAGGGGGAGAGAGAGAACATCGACCTGAGAGTGACACAGTGACTGGTTGCCTCCCGCACAATCCAACCATGGGTGGGAATGAACCACAACTGAGGTACAAGCCCTTGGCCGGAGTTGAACTCAGGACTCATTGGTCTGCAGGATGATGCTCTAACAGCTGAGCCAAACCGGCCAGGGCTCAGTTTTTTCTCCTGACTTTCCTAAAGATTTTCACCACTTCCTGTGACTTTCTTGCCTGCACATTTCATATATATATATATATATATATATATGTATATATATATATATATATATATATATACATATATTTGAAACAACCCAGAAAGAACAAAGTTCAGAGGTCTTCTTTATCTCTTTATGTCAGCAACTAGGACATGAATCTGCAATACTATCCACACCTCCAAATACTTATAAATCATGGGCATATGGTATATTATATCTCTTCCCTTGGCAGACTCCCCAATTACAAAATGCAGTTACTAGAGTAACCAGTTCCAGAACCCATATTTAATAGACACAATAGAATTAGATGTAACCATCTGAATAAAGATGAGATCACTTTAGGAACCTATGCTAAGTAATTTACTACATTAGCCTATGAAATGTAATATGTAAGGGATTTTCAATGGAAATTAGGGATAATTAAGCTCTTAGAAGAAACATGTTTTAAGCTCTGCAACTGTTGGTAAATGATCCTCATCATCTACTGACATTGAATGGGAGGGAACCAACTAGTAAGACTATTGGTGACTGATGACTCTTGAAAGGGAGCAAAGAAGAAAAATCTAATCTAACAAAGAATCTGATAACTTGAATATGTTCATGATTTTGTGAAAAGCACTTATATGGCATTTGCTCCCTCTACCCCTTAATATTGGGTGATATTAAAGTAAATCATTTACCTCACTACACTTTCCTTATCTGCAAAACTAGGAGACTAGATGTTGCATCTCAATGATCTTATTTGGCATAAAACTTTATCTCACCTGATATAAGACTCTACTATCCATGTCATTTAAAAAGCATAAGCAAGTTAATAGAATTAGAAACACATCTCTATATGTGTTCCAACTCATAAATATAACGACAGAAGAAAACATTCATATAGAGTTACAAAATTTTCTAAAGTTATGAATTCTTTTTTGTTTTTATTTTTTTTCCCCTTTATTGATTTTAGAGAGAGAGGAAGTGAGAGGGAGAGAGAGAGACAGAAACATCGATTTGAGAGACCATTGGCTGGCCACCTCCTGCATGTCCCCCACTGGGGATCGGGCCCACAACCTGGGCATGTGTCCTGACCAGGAGTCGAACCGGCGACCTCTTGGTGCATAGGTCGATGCTCAACCACTGAGCCACACCAGCCGAACTAAAGTTATAAATTCTTAAGAATATAATTTCATCTAAAGTACCCAAATCTATTCTGTATGTAAGGTAATATGATTACTGAAAGAGTAATAATTCATTCTTTGCAGAATAAGACCAAAACCACTTCATAGGTAGCTGAAAAAGACTTAATAATAAAAATCAACAAATGATTGATAAAAGATTGTTTTACAGTTAATAAAACTTAATAAAATTATATAATTTATATTATTTTACTATTTTTAAGACTAAAATTACATTTCTAAGTTAAAATATTTAAAATACATTTAAAAGGCCTACCACTTTGTTGACCATCTCCATATCACACAGATTGTCCACTAATATTCGACATGCTTCTTCTTTACCCCAGTGAGCTGCAGCATGAAGAGGTGTCCAGCCATCGTAATCTTTAATATTAACATCATAGCCTGCCTGTATTAAAAGTCTAAAGAAATTACAGTAAGTTAGATAAATAATCATTAAAATCTAGAAATGAACAAATGTAATCGATAACATTATACCATGCGAGTTAACAAAAATTTGCAATATACTTTCCATTCCATAGTTCAAATCCTGTCTTCCACCCTCCCCCAATGAAACAGGGCAAAAGAAAGTAATTCTCAGAAAACACTGGCAAAGAGCATCTTGCTTGAGTTACTGCCATAATGCATTCAGCTTTAATTAATTCTTAATGACTATAAGTCTCATAGTTTGGTGTAACACTGATTAATTCTTGTTAATATGACCTGTAATTAAAATTTTCAAGGGAAAGCCTATAATTTTTCAAAGTGAGATTAAAAAAAAATAAAAAACTACTGGATCAATCTGTATGTTAAACTGATTTATTGCAGAGAAGTCTTTAGGTGTCCATATGATAAATCATCTCAGGCGAAATGTATTCTTAAAATATACCTGGATCAAACAAGCTTACTCTGTAGTGTTTTTGCTGCCTTATAGTTGAGAAACTAGTTTGTGAAAGTTTTCGCAAACCTTTATGATCTAACATGGAAAATTTTCATAGGAAAATGACATCTGACTGTTAGGAACAAAGTAAAGCAAAACAAATATTCCAAGGGGGTCCATTCTACTTTTCCACAGCAGTAGAAAGCAGATATCCAATCATCAACAAAGCTAGAAAACAGGAATACATTTTAATACAATGCAAAGAGTTGCACAAATTATGTTAGTATGCCCTTCTAACTGTATACTGACATCAACCTTTATTTTATTTAGAAATTAAGCTCACAGAGAGCAAAGACTGGGTCTATAAATTGCACATAGCACAGCCCCACACACACAGGCGCAACACTAAATACTTTACAGCTCAGGAAATCTGATGACCTTTACCTTACTTTCCAAGATGTTGAGCTTGAGAAGGGCTTCTTTTTACCTACAGAAGGTGGTAGTGATAGCTAACACATACCCTTCATTTATTTATGTTTTTAAGTACTGATTCCCTATTTCCTAATAATATCTACAGCAGCTGGTTCCAATTTTGGCTCCATAACAGAACCATCTGAAGAGTTTGTTAAAAAAAAAAAAAAAGATTGCCCAGCTCCACCCCAGACCTACTGGATTAAGCAGCATATTAGGAGATGGGCCCTATAAATCTCTAATAAGTCCCCCATATGATTCTCATTCCATGCTTGTCACCTGCCTGCAGACCAATTTTTAAGAGCCATCAATCTTTTAAAGATCAGCTAAAATATATAAATCCAGATATTTAAATAAAAATATGTCCATTAATATATATATATTATCAGAAACTTTATATAACAGAGACAGAAATAATACTGAGATGTAAGATAATAAACTATACCCCCCATTGGAAAATATTAACTATAATAATACTAAATATCCTGAACAACATAAAATTTTAAGTACCTGTGAGCCTATTTGGAAAGAAAAAAGTCGGGAAGGTAGATGTATTTCTCCCTCCCACTCCCGAATATAAGATTCTCTGTATGTACCAGGCCATACAAGGATACTCAAAAACATAACACAGTACTCATTATATTAAAATGGTTTCTAATGGAGAACAAATATCAAGTAAAACAACAATCAACCTTCACAGATAGGTTGTATGGTGGAGATGCAATGGGAGCATAGAACTGAAAAGCATCAAAATCAATTGAAAGGGGTTGTGTGTTTGAGGGGGAGTGGTAAGTGGGGAGAATACACTGGAAAAAGATACTCTCTATTTTTTCATTTCAGATATATTTTTATTTATATATTTTCATAAATAATATATTCACATGATTCAAAAATAAAAAAAGAACAGCTATTGAAGTCATTCCCTCTCCTGCTGCTGACCTTTAATCAGTTTCCCTGCCCTATAGATAATCATAATACTAATTTTTATTGAATCCTTATGAGACATTCTATGCATATATAGCAAATACAATAAAAAGATATTAAATAAACAAAAATTATGCACACTTTTCTTCTTGGTTTTGACACTTAACAATACATCTCAGTGCTCTTTCTATATCTATATGTAGCGTTTTAACTGCTACAGAATATTCAAGTAAAAGTGTATCATAATTTATTCAACCATTCACCATTCATAAACCATTCTCCTACTCCTATTATAAACAACACTGTTAGCACATACCTTACTTCCTATGTGAGTGAGATTATTCGTTAAAAAAATTCCCAAAGGTAGACTTGCTAGGCCAAATAACTGTAACTTTGACAGAATCTGCTCAATTGTTATTTATACTTCCACCCGTAATGTTAAGAGTCCTTTCCCCCAATCTTGCCAAGACAGGGTGCCAAACATTTTATGATAGATGAAAAATGGTAGTGATTGATTATAGCTTTATCTGCACTTATTATGAATGAGGTTGATCTTTTATTTTTCATAGGCTTAAGAGGCTTGAACTGAGTCAAAGGATCAAAAGAATGTGCCTCCACGTTGAAGAGATGGTGAATGAAGGTATCTAGACAGAAACAAGAGTAGGTATTAAGACATCATGACAGAACTTCAAGGATATAGAGATGGAATAATGCATGCCTTAGGAGAAATGATAGCACCTTAGTTTGTTTGTTTGTTTTTTATCCTCACCCGAGGACATTTTTTGATATTTTGTTCAGATAAGAGTGGGAGGGGGAGAGAGAGAGAGAGAGAGAGAGAGAGAGAGAGAGAGAGAAAGAAACATCGATGTGAGAGAGACACACAGACTGGCTGCCACCCACACGACCCCAACTGGGGCTGGGGACAAACTGCAACCGAGGTACAAGCCATTAACGGGAACCGAACCCGGGTCTCTCAGGACCACAGGCCGACGCTCTAACGGCTGAGCCAAACCGGCCAGGGCTAAAAATATATTCTGATTACCACTGAGATACTTTAAAAAAAAAATCCTCACACGAGAATATTTTTTCCATTTATCTTTAAATAAAGTGGAAGGAAGGGAGGGGGGTAGGAGGGAGAGAGAGAAATATCCAAGTGAGAAAGAGACATTGATTGGTTGCCTTCCTCACAACCCTGACCAGGGCCGAGACGAACCCAGGTACGTGCCCTTGGCTGGAATTAAACCCGCGACTCTTTGGTCCACAGGCCGACTCTCTAACCGCGGAGCCAAACTGGCCAGGGCACCACTGAGAATCTTCATTAAGGATTTTAAGAGCCTGGATAATCTAATTATAAAGACCACTTGAAAGTAGTCTAGAATCTATTTTACAGCGCAATCCAGTACTTGTATATGTTTACAGAAAAACAAGAGTTTTAGCAAATCATATTTAGCCTTACTATATGAAATCCTCTTTGATAATTCTAATTCTTTCTTTAAAAAATGCTATTGATGAGTCACTAAGTTCATTTGATGACCTGCTAATGGGGTCTGAAAGTTTGAAAAGTTTTGCGTTAGAGAGAAACAGGTGGGACAAGGAAACTAATTAGAAGTTAACTATACTACTCTAGGAGAAGGCTTAAATTACTGAAGTGAGTAAGGACTGAAAAAAGGAGGGAATTTGGAAATAGGTGATACACTTAAACTGCTTCACTGTTTTTATTGAGGATAGGGAATAAGAAGACCATGACATTAGAAACCCAAGAGGAACGAAAACACTATAAAGGGTACAGCAGATTTGCTGGGGTCAGTCTTATTTCCTTTCACACACACATAACAAAAGTTATGTACTAAATTATTTTTTTTCACATAGTTGCCAACACCTTTGCATTGCATAAGTAAACAAGCAAACAAACAAAAATTACTATGACATAAACTGCTCCAAGAAAATTTGCTGATCAATATATAGCCCTATACAGTCTAACTTGCTACAGCTTGATATATAATTTTATACTAATAGCACTTGAGTCCCAATGTACACATAGTAAAAAACAAAACTATTTTAGATAAATTACATGTTAATAAATATTCAATAGGAACCAAGCTCTCAGAATATATAAACAGAAATATATTAATATATGACATTGTTCTTAGTTTTAGAAACCAGAGTTTGCCAATCTGGAAACCTAAAAATGACCCTGTATTAACTGATTGGTCCAGAGGTAACAGATAATGGTTGTCTGATACTTATTAACTTATTGGAAAATTGTAACTAAGAAACAACTAACTGTAAAATAATAAAAATTTGAGAGTGAAAGAGCTTTAGAAATAAGACAATAATATTCAAAGTAATTTTTCTTTCTGTAAACAAACATTAAATAACTTTTATAAGCTGTTTCAAATGTTTGCAAGGTATCTTAAGAAAAGGAACACTGAAGTAAAGAAAACTAATCAAAGTACAAAAACAAGTGTAAAAAACATACTTACTTTAAAACTTCTGTATAGCCTTTAGCTGCTGCAACATGAAGTGCTGTACCTCCAGATTTTGCGTGTCGGACATCATTTATATGGCCACTATTTAGCCACTGTCTTGCATCTCTTAGCATTATCCGTTCTTCTTCCTTTCGAGCTGCTTCTATATCAACCCCTAAGAAAATGAAAATTGTTTTTATTTTTCTTTACCAAAAATGTTCTTTCTATGTTGGACAATAAAATTATCTAAAACATTTCAAACTTAAATGAAAATTAAAAGTGAAGTTATATTTTTGAAAAATGTGCTGCTTATAACAAACTGGTTAAATGAAAAATGTGAGATTATTGTAGATATTTTATTAGCCTTCTCTACTGGTTATTTAGTTTTTGCCCTACAATATTATTTTGGCTCTCCTTTAACCTTTTCTGATTATTCCTTTAAAAAAAAAAAAAAAAGTGAGTATTTTTCCAGGTATATCATTTCTTGATAACAATGTTTTAAAAAATCAATCAAATATAACTAAGTCTCAAATTTCCATCTATAGCTTTTACCAATTCTTTGAACTCTATCCTATTAGGTACAAATGTTTACTGAACACTTCAACTTGGAGGTGCTGTCTTCTAAAATTCACCAGACCTTAAAAACAGATTATTTATCTACCAAACTCTTTCCTATTCCAACATAACTACATTGGCCATACCACTAGTATTATTTTTATAATTTAATAAGTTATATAAGTATTCATTAATTTAAAAGAATTTATTAGTGCTGTGCTAGGTTGAGATAATAAGAGTGGGGAGAATTCAAAAAGGAACAGAATACTCTAGGTACCTTCAAAGAGATCAGCATCCTGAGAAAAAAAGTAAAATAGAAAAAATAATCCTGACATTCATGAATGAGCTCATGTCTTATGGCTTCATCGGGTGGCTATTTAATAAATAGCACATACCACAATGCATTACAATCTTACTAAAGAAAAATATTAAAGGTAAAGTTACTGTTTTTTTTAATCTTGTATCCCCACTGTGTGGATGAGGTGGATGGATACTCGATGCAAAGTAAAAGGGATCAATAAGTAAATGTTAATTAAATAAATAATGAATAAATGAGTAAGAAACAATCATACGCATACAACACACACACATATTATCTCCTCAGTTAAGATATCTCTTATAAATCATATCCATGTATCCATTATCTGTTCAGGATTTTATCTATCCATCCATCCATCCATCCATCCATCCATCCATCCATCCATCCATCCATCCAATATGTACCGAGTGCCTACTATACGTTGGGTACTTTATAAGTTGTTATGGGTATAGAAGTAAACTTATATGGCAGAAGATGATACATCTGTGAAGAAAAATGAAGCAAGGTAAAAGGACAGAGGGTAATAAGAAAGAGGGTTTTCTAATATGTGTTGGCAAAGAACAGTCTTTTTTAAAAATAATTTCTTTCTTTCTTTGATTTAGAGAGATAGGAAGGGAGAGGGAAAGAGAGATAGAGAAACATCGATGAGAGAGAACATCGATTGGCCACCTCCTCCATGCCCCCCACTGGGGATTGGGCCCACAACCTGGGCATGTGCCCAGACTGGGAATCAAACCGGCGACCTCTTGGTGCATGGGTCGATGTTCAACCACTGAGTCACACCAGCCGGGCAAAGAACAGTCTCTTTGATAAAGTGACATTTAGAGCAAGAAATGAAGTGAGTGACAGTCATACTATAATATGGGAGAACAGTCAAGCAGAAGGAAGTAGTAGTAGGCTCTAAGGTAGAAGCCGCTTAGAATGATCTTTTGATTAGAAAAACCAGGGTATCTACAATGAGCAGGGTGACACACTGACTTAATTTAAGAGGATCGCTTAAACTAAAAAGTTAAGAGGAGAAACTAAGGTATTAATTTGAAAGCGATTGCAATAATTCAGGGAAAAGATTATGGTTATTAAAACCAGGGTGGTAGCAGTGAAGTTAGCAGGGGTTAGATTTTGGGTTCTTCAAGTAACACCAACAAAATTTGTTGTTAGTTTGGATGTAGGAGAAAAAAGAAGTCAAGGATGAATCAGAGATTTTTAGCCTGAGAAATTTGGAAAACTAAGTTTTTAATATGAAAAATATAGTTTGAGATGCCCTAGTAGATATCTAATTGGAGATATCAATTGGATATCTGAGTATGGAGAACAGAAAAAAGGTCAAGACTAGGCAAATAATTTAATATAATAAAATAATATGCCCTGGGTACTTCAACTCAATGTTAAAGCCTTAACTCAATTTTCCCCAGCCAAACCTCTTGCTCTTTGTCTTGTATTTACTATGCTAGGTACTGACACTTAGCCAGCAATGTGAAAGACATCCTTAATCCTTCCCTTTAATTACCAGATTTTGAGTTGCCATCTCCTAGACTGTCTTCTTCTTCTTTTTTAATCCTCACCTGAGGACATTTTTTCCATTTTTTGTTCAGATAGAGTGGGAGGGAGAGAGAGAGAGAGAATCAGAGAATCATCGATGTGAAAGGGACACATTGAGTGGCCGCCACCCTCACAACCCAACCAGGGCCGGAGACAAACTGCAACCGAGGCAATGCCCTTAGCGGGAACTGAACTTGGGTCTCTCTGAACCGCAGGCCGACGCCCCAACCGCTGAGCCAAACGGGCCAGGGCTAGACTGTCTTCTTGATGGTGCCTATCACCATTCTCATTTCATATCTTGTCTCAAACTTTGACTACTACTGCTACTACTACAACTGGCTTTTAACTCATTCAGCCTCAGTCCCTTCCGATTCATTCCGCCCATCAATGTCATACAAGTTTTGCTGTATCAAAATATATTCTTATTTTTCTAAATAAGTTGCTCACCTGCAGTAAGACAAAGCTCAGGCTCTTTAATTTAGCACACAAAGCCTCTTATAACCTGGTCCCAATGCTTTTTTAGTCTTTAGACTTTCTCCTCTATCTTCACCTAGTGTTCTAACCATCTAGATCTCTGCCTGGGTCCCCAAGTCCATCATGTATGTGCTGTTCTACAAGCTTTATCCTCTACCTGGATTGTATCCTTATTTTGCCTGCCTAACAAATTACCAGTTATTTAAGACACAGCTAAACTGCTGAACTGAAGCTCAACTTTTAAAAAGTAGAGCATGAGTGAAAAAAATATTTAAATCCCAAGATTACATAAGTGCAGGTAAAGTCATCTTCAAACTAAAGATGGTAATATCTCATTACCACATTTGAAAGAAACTTGCAATAAAGATTTCCTAAATAGGCTTTATAAAAACATTCTTTTACATGTACTATATACATGTAATGAACAAAGCCTATTATAATCTTTATTTTAAAAGTATCACCATTTCCATGATAAAGCAATTTTATATATTAAAAACTTCCGACCAAAAGGTAACCAACCAGCCCATCTCATTTAAGATGCCTTCTAATGTTATTCAAAAAAGAATTATAAAGCTGCTTTATAGAATACATTAAGAATTACCTTTTTACTGAAAGATTTTTCTCATACTGATTTTTCCCCCTTAGGCTTTTTCTTTTACCATGTCTTTTAAAACATGAACCTCTTTATTACCTTTATCCTTTTTTTTTGCCTTTACCATCTTAAACATTCTCATTCTGAGTCTCACTGTCCTTTACTATTCTAAATTACCTCTAGACTTGAAACTAGAAAAACAAAAAGAACCCCAAAACAACCTACTTCCTACTTCCAGATTTATCTAATTTCATGCTATGTTTAGCTAATTATAAAAAATTACCCTTTTTTGCTTCTGAATAGTAGTTTTGTATAAATTATATAAAAACAAAACAACTCAAATTTAAAATTCAAGTATATGTAAAGGAAAATTTCTTACGCTTAAGAAACTCCAGTTAGAAAAACTCTTCTTTCATTCTTAGAATTAAATCAGACCCTGCTTATTAAGTTCATTAAAAACAACAACAACACACACACAAAAAAAACCTTATTGTACTAAATATTACAATACTAGTTTTCTAATTCCAGTGCTTTAACTAGTTAGTGACCTTCAGAAAGCCATATATTCTTTGAATATTAGTATAATGGTTTGAGAACAGTACTAAAATTAGACTGCTGGGTTTCAGTCTCTGATCTGCATTTACACTTAACTAGTTGTATTATCTTGGGCAAGACATTTAATCTGTGCTAATATTCAGTTTCTTTATTTGTAAGATAGGGGTAATGAAAGTGACTATCTCAGAGTGTTGTTGTGAGGATTAAACTAACTGATGTATGCTAATCAGGAGTAAGCACCAAGGTGTAAACTACCATTATGAGATCTAAAAGTCTATGATTCTGCTTCTCTTTTCTTGCTTTACGATTTAATAGAAAGTAAACTTTAAAATGCATTTAATTGGTCTTTAATCCACCTACTGTAAGTGCAAGGTTTTTAAACAATGAAAACAATAGATATTAAAACTAAATTGGGTATGATATAATAAAGTGATTAGACTATTAACATGTCACTATTATTGAAAAACAATAAATATTAGATTGAGATGTAGCCAAACCTCTTATGTAAGAAAAAACAAAATTAAACTGATATTTGGACAGTGATGAAGAGTGTGGGCTCAAGATATCTATCACACTGTTTGGGACTGAACTACAGCACAACTTCTTACTCGTATGACTTTGGGCAAATCACTAAGCCTCAATTTCTCATCTGTAAAATGGGAATAGTAGTAGTATTAACCTCTTAAATTGCTGTGAGGATGAAATGAAATGAGACAATGCATGTAAAACCCTTTGCTCAATGCCTGGCATATAATCAGCATTTAATAAGAGTTAGCTACTATTATTAGTATTTGCTCTTCCCTTTGCAGTTCCAGGGTCATCTTATCCACTATTTCCCGAATTCTCCCTCATGTATTATTCTCTCAGATGAACATTTTCCACCATGACATCTCCTAAGTTCTAGCAGTGCACTGGACACTGTCATCTAGAAATGCTTTAGCCACTACAAACTCAATATATCCCCAAACAAACTCATGTACTTACTAAATCTTTTCCTGCTTTGTCCCACATTTTCCCATATAAATTCATCCAGTCATCAATTCTTAAACTGGAAACTTCAGGAAGCAAATGATGTTTTTCATCTCCACATTCAGTTCTTCAACAAAGTGTATTAATTTTACCTTAATATTTCCTCAAGACAGCCCTACTTTCCCATTTTAAATGTAATAGTTTGGGCTCTTATCATCTTTCACCTGGACTAATATTTAAGAGTCTCCAAAGAAGGCATGTCACCATGCTCACCTGCCCCTAATTTGAATTCATCCTCCAAACTGCCATCAACTTTATTCCTAAAAACCAAATCCAATCAAATTCTCACTGAGATCTTGTTGCACCTGTTTAATGCCTACCCAATACATGTCCTTCACTATCTGGCTTTAGCTCAATCTTTTTAGGCCTTACCTCCAACTCCTACTAATTCCATCCTGACTTTCTATCTCTATTACAATTCTAATGAATTTTCCACATATGTTATATATCCAATTCCTTTTCATCTATATTTTACACATAGCACACTGCACTGTGAAGCTCTGTTTATATATTTGCCACTGTGAAATTCTGAAGAACAAAGATTGCCTTCTTTTTTCCCCTTCAAAACCCAGCCCTCAGAACATTTGCTGGCACATTAATCAATACTGAATGAATAATTATAATTCAAATTGGCATTGCTAACAGTTTCCTTTATATGAAAGGAAACCAAAGGCAAGAAGTTTTCAGTACATCTCCATGCCTTTCTTAGTTCATAATAATTGCTAATGTTAGACAGTATAAAAAGATTTACTTTAGCCAGTTTTACAGAAAACTGTTAGCTCTCTGGGTGCTCATCAGGGTAAGATAGAAGATAAGGTACTCTTCTTTCTGGCTTGCGATGCATTATATGTATCCTTCCAGTTTCCTCAAGTCCTGAAGATCCCATTACTCCAAAGGCCTGCCTAGAGCATAGCTGTTAACAGCTCTTCTGTGTACTAATTCAAGCTTTAGTTTAAGACAATTTTTCTAATATCTGTCCTGTTTCTTCTAGTATCTTCAATTACTTCTCATAATGCTTCAAATCTAGGTATTTAAATATTTAGTGCCTAGGATTTTTTTTTAAACTGAGTAGTCATTATGAATTTTCATAATCCCAACGAATAAATAAAAATCTCTTTTCCAGGAACAGCTGAGAAGATATTATGAATTTTCCTAATCTTTAAAAGGACGCCTTAGCTTCTATTCCTGATGAATCACACTTCAGCTTCCTCTAAACCAAAACTCATACCTTTCCTTTATCCTTTAACTTCAGTAAAACACATTTCTCTCTGAAAATACCCATTTAATCACTGCCACAATGAAATATAGTGGAAATCACACACGGTAATTTTATTTATATATATTTAAAATTTTAATTGTAGTAAAATGCACATAACATAAAATTTGTCATCTTAATAACCATTTTCAAGTATATGGTTCAGCAGTGTTAAGTACATTTACACTATTGTGTAAACCAACCTCTAAAACTCTTCATCTTGCAAAACTGAAATGCTCTAGCCATTAAATAAGTCTCCATTTCCATCTCCTCCCAGCTTCTGACATTTATCATTCCACTTTTCTCTCTCCATGAATCTGACTACTTGAGATACACCTCATGTAAGTGAAATCATACAGTACTTGTCTTTTTATGAGTGGCTTATTTCATTTAAAATAATACCCTCAAGGTTCATCCATGCTGTAGAATGTGTCAGAATTTCCTTCTTAACAATGAGCAGTATCCTATTGTATGTATATGGCACATTTTGTTTATTCATTCATCTCTTTATGGACACTTGGTTTACCTTCATATTTTGGTTGTTGTGAAGTGTCGTTAAAATATGGGTGTACAAATATCTCTTTGAAACTTTCCTTTTAATTCTTTGGGTATATACCCAGAAGAGGAATTGCTGAATTTCATACACACATATATATTTTGTATATAAAATAACTGCTTTATTGAGATATACCATTTAAAGCATAGAATTCAATGGTTTTTAATAAATTCACAAAGTTGTACTATGATTATTAGTTTTAGAAAAAATATCACTCCTAAAATAAACTCTACACATAAGCAATCACTTCTCATCTCATAAGCAATCACTTCTCATCTATAAACCGATACCTCCCAAATTTGTATCTCGAGCCTGTACCTATCTCTACTCACATATTCAATTGTTTGTATAGCTAATAGGTTTAAAAAAAAGCGCATGTCTTAAAAATGAATCCAAAGCCCTGGCCAGTTTGGGTCAGCAGTTAGAGCGTCAGCCTACGGACTGGGGAGCCCCGGGTTTGGTTCCCACTAAGAGCATGTACCTCGGTTGCAGTTCGTCCCCTGCCCCGGTTGGGGTTGTGTGGGTGGCAACCAATCAATGTGTTTCTCTCAGTTCAATGTTTCTCTCTGTCCCTTCCTCCCTCGCTCCCTCCCGCTCTAACTGAAGATAATTGAAAAAAATATATATATATCCTTGAGTGAGGATAAAAAAAAAAATGAATCCCTGAACTTTGCCTATAAAATCTACTTTTCCCGCAATATTCATCTCTCAAATTGAAACTGCCCATCTAGTTGCGCAAACCAAAAATCTCAGAATCTCAGGGCCCTGCTTTCTTTTTCCTTACATATCCTACATTCAACCCCCCAATAATCCTCTTAGCAAAACCTTCAAAATATATCTAAAAGCCAACCTCTTCTCATCACTTTGTTTACCACCACCCAACTTCTGCCACTTTCTTCTTACTGTCCCACAATCTGTTCTCAACACAATAGCCAGAGATCCTGTCATGTCTCTACTTCAAACCCTTGGCTCCCTAGTTCACTCAGATTAAAAGCCAAAGTCCGTCCAATGGCCCATAAAGCCTTATGTAATGTGGTTCACTGTTACTTCTGTGACTTCATTGCCTTCCAGCCTTTTCCTTGTTCTGCCTGTTCCAGTCACACTACTCTACTTGCTGCTGCTTCTTTGAATATACCAGGTACCTTCTCATTTTTGCATTTGTTGTTCCCTGTGTCTGAAATGTTCTTTCCCCATAACCACATGATTCATTCCCTCACCTCATTCAGATCTTAGCTTAAATACCACCTTATTAGTGAGAACTTCTTGACTGCTTTATTTAAATTTACAATGTGTCACATTTATCCTGTGTACATCTTCCCCTTTTTGCCTGTTTTATTTTGCTCCAAAGCTCTTATTTAACATATAATTTTATGCCTGACCCTACTACTTATGATACGTCTTTCAACTTTAAAAATACTAAGATGTAGAGGGGAGAAACACACATTTTTCAAATAGAATCATTCTTTATGTTAGGTTGGTTGATTTTTTTTTCTCCCACTCAAATTGTAATTGTCTTTCAATGTCAATAATTATTTTACTAAAAAGTATCATGTTCATTCTAAAACAGTTATAAACATTTTTTCCATTCAGGCTGCTTTTACATTACCTTGCCGATTAACTTCATTTTGAAGTAGCTCTTCCATTGCCTCCTCCTCAGCAATATCTAAAGGTGTGTCTCCTTCACTGTTAACAGCTCCTACATGTGCTCCATGACCAATCAAAAACCTGCAAAATCAAATGGAAGACAGTTAAATAATGACGATATCATTGAAATAAGACTAAATGCATAGCCAATGAGGAAAACTATGTAAGAGCAGCAATAAAAACCAAGGACAGGGCCCTGCCCAGTGTGACTCAGTTGGCTGGGTGTTGTCCCATACACCAAAAAGTTGTTGGTTAGATTCCTGGTCTGGGCACATGCTGGGGTTGTGGGTTTGATCTCTGGAAGGGGGCATGCAGGAGGCAGCTGATCGATGTTTCTCTTGCCCCTCCCCCTAAAAATCAATAAAAAAATCTTAAAATAAAAAAAAAAGAATAAAGATAGGCTATGTGTTATTTAAGTTTTAAAAAACTACCACAGGGTATACTTTCTTTCTAATTTATATTTCCTAATTTTTCTATAATATACACACAATGTCTTACTAATACAAAAAAAAAAAAAACACCAAAAACCCTCACCTGAGGATATTTTTATTGATTTTAGAGAGAGGAGGGGAGAGAAATAGTGACTGGTTGCCTCCCAAACACACTCCAACCAGAGATTAATCCTACAACCTAGGTAATGTGCCATGACTGGAATTGAACCTGCAAACTTTTTAGTGTACAAAACAACATGCCAACCGAGTCACCTGGCGGGGCCAAAAAAGGCTGATTTTTAATAATTATAAAGTCTTTCATAGGATCATTTCAGACTGTCTACATTAAGATTTGTCATTATCTCCATAATGACTGGTTTCCTAACTGATCTCCATGCTCCCAGTTTCATGCCATAAGCAATAGTTCTTAACTTGGGGTCCATGGACAGAATTCAGAAGACCATTCCACTGATGCAAATATCTTAAAATATTTTTCATGCTCATCACTATTTTGAAATTAAAGTAGTTATGAGATTGTCCGGCTGGTGTGGCTCAGTGGTTGAGCATCGACCCATGCACCAAGAGGTTGCCGGTTCTATTTCTAGTCAGGACACGTGCCCAGGATGTGGGCCTGAACCCAGTGGGGGGCATGCAAGAGGCGGCAAATCGATGTTCTCTCTCATTGATGTTTCTATCTCTCTTTCCCTCTCACTTCCTTTCTCTCTAAAAACTATCAATAAAGGAAAAAGAAAATTTAAAAACATAAAGTAGTTATGAGATCAACCATTAGGCCTTTTTATTTAATGTGTTACTAAAGAAGCACATATATAGCTATACAACCAGTGTTTTTCTAACATTTTGATAAATAAAATCCAATATAATTAGTTTTCATTGTGCTCTGTGTTTTATGCATCCAAAACACAATCCTGAGAAAGTATCCACAGGCTTCATCAAACCTGCCGAAGGGATCCAGATACAGAAGGTTATCAATCACTTTCATGGGTCAACTGCACATCTAGAATCATCTATGTAACATAACTGTTGTCAATTCCTAAATAAAAAAGTTTGAATGGTTGTACCATAGTAGGAGAAAACACACACAACCCTCAATAATCTGGTTTTGTATTCTTTTTCAGCCTCATTTCTCTTCTTTCCTGTATCACACTTTAAACTCCATCAATATGGAACTGCTTGTAGTTCCAGATGAAACCATGATCTTCCGGCATCCCTGATTTTCCTTTGCTATATGTAAAATAATGGGCAGTTTTTCTCTGTGTCCCTAAATAATTTAACTGTTATTTGTATTTTTTTCACAGACTACATAATCTTCTCATTATAAAAAAGTAAAAAAAAAAAAAAAAGTCCACAGAGTTAAAAAGAAAAAGGAAAGACCTCCCTTAAACCTCTTCTTCTACTATCATGATCTCTTCCCAGAGATAAACACTATCAACAGTATGACAAATATCTTTGCAGCACCTTTGCTATAAATTTATATGTGTGTATATAAACATATATGCATCATCACTTTGAGGCTCTTTTTGCAAACCATAAATTAATGGGATTATTTAAAATGCAGTAGAATGCAATGCTTCCCTTCTAATAGCTGAAAATATTCCACAGTATGGCTACATGATACTTTTATTTGATAATGTATTCCTAATGGACATGTTCTCAAACACACACCTGACATTATCAATCTTTTAAAATTTCTTCAACATTATGGGATGAAACATTTTCTTATTATTTTAACTTATTTCCTGATTACACATAAAGTTGAAAATATTACAATGTTTATTAGCATTTGTATTTTCTACTTTTGTGAACTTCTTATTTACATCTTTTGCTTGTATTTCTAATGTTTAAATTCAGCAAATACTTATGAGATGTTGCTATGGACTCGATATTTGTGTCCCCTCCCCTCAAAATTCTTATTGAAACCCCAACCTTCAATGTATTAGTATTAGGAGGTAATTAGGTTTAGATGAGGCCATGAAGGTGGAGCACCCATGATGGGATTAGTGTTCTTATAGAAGAGGAGGACACTGGAGCTCACTCCCTCTCTCCCTGAGGACCCAGCAAGATGACAGCCACCGGCAAGACAGGAAAAGGGCGCTCACCAGATCCAGAATTGGCCAGCATCTTGGACTCCCTAGTCTCCAGAACTGTCAGAAACAAATGCCTGTTGTTTAAGCCACCCAATCTACGGTATTTTGTTATGATAGCCAAAGCTGACTAAAACAGGTGTGTAGGATATATCTAGCACTGTTACATGTCAGCAATCCAATAGTAAGCAAAAACAAACATGGACCCTCCCCTCAAAGAGCCTACAGTTTAGTAAAAGAGTTAGATGAATTATCCAGATAAATGTAAAATTATAAGTCTTATGACAGAGAATTTTGTTGTATCTAGCAGTGAATTATAGAATAATTTGATTTAGTGAGGTCAGAAAAGAATTCTCTGAAGAATATGTAGGTACTAACAAAGAGAACTGAAAGAGTGTGTTTCCAGGAAGAGAGAAAAAAAGGCACCAAAACCCTGCGACAGGAAGTGTGTATGGCAAGACAGGGGCCAGGTTCATTATCCTGAGAGAAAATGAAATAACTGATTAATCTCTATATATTTCTGTCACCCACACCCACCTACCCACCCACCCATAGTCAGTGAATGTTTATTTTTGTAAGATGCTTACATGATTAGGTCACTGTGTTTCAAAAAGATCACTTTGTGTGGTATGGAAAATAAATTAGAATGGAGAAAAAATAAAAGCAGGCAGACCAGTTAAGTAGCTACAGCAGCAGTATAGAACAATTATGTTGGAAACTTGAATTGGACAGAGGAAATGGATGAATTCCAGAGATACCTAGGGGATACTAGAAGATCAGCTGGACATGCGAAGTGAGAGTGAAAAAGATGTCTAAGATAAAGTTCTTAACGTACATGATGTTATTTATACATGGATGGTGGCACTAATTAATGATATACTAAAAACTTAAGTAATTCCCTGCATCCGACAAATATATATGTTGCAAATATTTTTTTCATATTGTCACTACATTAAAAAACCTTTCCTTATTATTTTGTATTTTACTAAATTTTAAAGGTTTTATAAAGTCAGGTTTGTCAATCTTTTGCTTTAAGAAGGCCTTTACCCATCTAGCTAGATGTATCTGTGTGGAGATGTAACTTTTACAGAAACATACATACACAGAGAAAAAAAAAAAGAAATACACACTATAAAATTAACAGATCATCTGTTAAGAGGTAGCATTTGAAGGGATTTGGGTTAGTTGTGGGTTTTTTGATGAGAAGAAGTTTTTTGTAATCCAAGCTTTCTGCAGCAAGTATGTTTTGTACATGTGTATCAGACCACAAAAAAAAAAGGCTGCCATATCATTTTGTAGCTTGTTTTTAAATGTAATAACATGTGCCCTGGCCAGTTTGGCTCAGCAGTTAGAGCATCAACCTGCAGAACAGAGAATCCCGGGTTCGGTTCTCACTAAGGGCACATACCTTGGTTGCGGTTTGTCCCCGGCCCTGGTAGGGGTTGCGTGGGTGGCAGCCACAATGTGTGTCTCTCTCTCACATCGATGTTTCTCTCTCCCTCCCTTCCTACCTTCTTCCCTCCCGCTGTATCTGAAGATAAATGCAAAAAAAAAAAGTCCTTGAGTGAGGATAAAAAAATAACAACTTAATAACATGTAAACATTTCTCCCTGTACAATATGTTTCATTTTCTATGACTTTCATGGGGTTTTTACAAACAGAAGTCACCCTTGAATTTAAGTAACTTTTTCTTTCTCACAATTTTGGAAAATGTAATATAAAATTAAACAAGAATATATATATACTACAAATAAATGAATCTGAAGCAAAAAAAAAAAAAAAAAAGGTGTAAGTGGAATAAGATACTATACTATACTATGCTCCAAGAGAATATGAAACTATTCTACTAGGCAAAATTTTGATCAAGTAATTAGAAATATTTACACAGGACATAAACACAGAAAAAAAGGAATACCTCAATGTAGCTGCAGTGCCTGCAGCAGAGGGAGGTATATGGGAAGCAGAGTCTCAAGGAAACACCAGGTCAAAGCCAAATACAGACAATCCAAAATTTATATTAACAGGAAGGATGCTAAGAGAAAATAATAAGAGTAAAGTTCCAAAACTATTGGCAGGAAGTTGGGCCTGGAGCAATCCCCGAGCCAAAAGTTAAGAGATATATATGCATCCAATTCACAAACCTCTCCTGCACTCCAGAACTATTGTTTGCAAATGTAAATTTAAAGAAGAAAGATATATTAAAATACATAAAATCCTATGGTATAAATTCTTATCTACCATGAATAATCTCAAAAAGCCATTCATGGTTGGATGAAAAAAAGCATAAACATTTAAGTTCTGCAGACTATGGGTTAGTCTCCCACCTCTGCCTGGACAGCTATTTGACACTCATTAACTTAAAACATTTGAAGTCTCATTTATAGGTGACTTACACTGTTGTGTGAAGTTTAAATGAGTTATCTCATGAAATGTCTAAAAATAAAATTAAGCCCTGGCTGGTCTGGCTCAGTAGTTAGAGTGTCGGCCCTCGGACCAGAGAGTCCTGGGTTAGGTTTCCACTAAGGGCATGTACCTCAGTTGCAGTTTG